CTGAAGCCTTAGGGTGATATTCTGGCTCTTCTCGAGGACATTATGGGAAGTCAGGCTGTTCTGGCCACATTTTCCCCTTCCCTATAAGAGGCGTACAACAGTACTCAGTGGTGGACTTCCATTCACTCTCTTTCCTTTCATGGTCCATTATTTTTGGGGTCTGTGCCTTGACATTTTCCCGGTACCCCTTAGGCAGTCTGAAATTCCACAGTGAACCACTTGGCTGACATTGATAGTCACAGGCCGGGGCTTGCCGGGCTGCTCGAGTATGATAGTTCATGCATCACAGTTTTAACATTTAAGCACATATTTGTATGCTCTTTGACAACTCTGAGAAGTCTTTGGTAATTTTATCATTTCGATCTTTCGTATTTTTCTCTGTTTCTTCTTGCCATTGGCAATTTGAGTCACATCAGGGTGCTGGGACTGGGAGTGGCTGCTGCCTAGCTCCCAGCTTGCAGAGCAGCAGGTGCCCGCGGTCTGCCCCGGGCAAGCGACTCCGCTGAGAAAGTCGCCCTGGCAGTCCAAAGACCCCGCACGCTGAGTCCTGCCGGCCTCCTCGCCCGCACACCCTCGCCGCGGTGGCCGGGCTCGGGCGGAGGAGCCCCCTCCCTGCAGCTGCGGCGCAGTCGCTGTGGGGACCAGGCGGGGGCGCTGCTCCGCCAGCCAGTATCCTGCGCGAGCGCATCCTCCCGCCCAGAGCTAGAGGCAACCAAGCCTGAAACTCGAACCCTTTTTTTTCTTTCAAATGCTCTTATTTTGTTCTTTATGTACAGGAATTCTTTGATGATCTGGCTAGAAGTAGGATTTTTCCAGAAAAGATTTGCGTTTGCCTGTGTCAAATTCCTGGGGATACTATCCATCTGGGACCCTTTAATTTCTAATCTTGAGGTTTTTCGGACCACGAGTTGTTCGAATTTGAGCTGCTGGCCCATGTGAAGGGCAGCCTGCATTCCAGCCTCTCAGCGCCAGTGCCAAGATTTGAGGCGGGGAATTTTCTGTCCCCTGAGGCAGTAGGAGGTTTGTTTACTTCAAATTCGTTTTTAGTTCACCCTTCCCCCCAGAGGTCTCTAATTCAACTCCCCTCCTTGAGTGGCCCATAGACTTTGTTTCCTGTCCTACTGCACTGCGAGGTCATGAAAACTGAAGCTCAAGGTTACCAAGTTTCGAAAAAGGTCGACAAAAGGGGATTTCAGTATTCCTCTTATCTATTTGGACTTCTGCTTTCACATATTTTGGGGGTTTCTCAGTATGCTTTACTTTCTTCTTAGTTCAATGCAATTTAAAAGGGTTTTAGTTTTATTTTTTGTTGTTTTTGTTTTAATTGTATCCATCATTATGAGTCGTTTTCAGGGTGTTTAGCGCATCATGCTGCCAGAAACAGACATCTGGCTCCTATTATTGGTCTTAACCCACAGTTCACTGTCTCTCAGTCCATTTATTGCTGTCGGAATCCAATCCTTTGGTCAGTGCCTCCCCATGTATTTCCAGACATCCCTCCAGGTGGAAGAGGGGAGCTCACCTGTCCTCATAGACAGGCTGATGAGCTCCAGGAGATCTTCTTTTCCATCTCCGGCCTTCTCTCCACCCCTACTGGGTTCTGCAATCCGCAGGTGGCATCGCTGTCTCCTGGAGTCCCTGCACTCTCGTGGTTCCATAGCTGCTCTTGGAGAAGTGGGAAGGGATCCCTCTTGCTCTTGCTACTGATCAAGAGAGAACCAGAGTGGTGCTGCTTATAACCCTTTTTGAGGAGATTTTGGTTAAACTACTCCTTTCATATTAGCTTTTTTTTTGCTCTTTATTGTGAAAAATTAAGATTTACAGAAAAGTTGCAGTAGTACTAAGAACATTTTTTTTTCTGAACCATTCAATAGTAGTTGCTGACATGCTGCCTCCTCAACCCTAAGTACTTGTGTGTATTTTCTACAAACAAGGACATTCTCCTACATAACCGCCATAAACCATCAAAATCAGAAAAATGACATTGATACATTGCTCCCATCTGATCCTGAGACCCCATTCTAGTTTTACTAATTGTCCTAATAGTGTCCTTTGTAGCAAAGGGATCCAACTCAGGATCACTGGTTGCATTTGGTTGTCCTGTCTCTTTAGTCTGCACTTTGGACCAGTTCTTCATCTTTCCTTGACTTTCTTGACTTTGATACTTTGGAAGATTACAGGCCGATTATTTTTAGAATGTCTTCAATTTGGGTTTGTCTGACGTTTCCTCATGATTAGGTTTAGATTATGCATCTTTGGCAAGAACACCACGGAAGTATGTTATGTTGTCTCAGTGCATCCTGTTAGGAGGCTCACAATTTTGATTGGTTTCATTATGGTAAGCCAGTTGATTAATGTGGTTTCTGCCAAGTTTCTCCACTGTAAAGCTACTATTTTTCCCTTTGTAATTAATTAAGTATTTTGTGGTTAGGTACTTTGAGACCACATAAATGATCCATTACTCCTCAACTTTTACCCACTAGTTTTGAGGTTTTGTGGTTGAATTAATTATTACTACGATGGTTGCCAAATGGCGTTTTTTTCCTAATTCAAGATTTAGGAAAAACTTTCTCTTTGCCTCATTTATTTATTCATTTATTTGTTTATATCAATATAGACTCCTGGATTTTTATTTCATTAATGGGGACTTATAATCAGTTACTAGCATTATTTATTTTGATACTCAAATTGTCCCAAATTTGGCCAGTGGAAACTCTTCAAACTGGCTCTGTGCCCCTTTTTAATGTCTTTTTTATTTTTATTTTTTTTGGTGAGGAAGATTAGCCCTGAGCTAACATCCCTTGCCAGCCCTCCTCTTTTTGCTGAAGCAGACTGGCCCTGAGCTAACATCTGTGCCCATTTTCCTCTACTTCATACGTGGGACGCCTGCCACAGCATGGCTTGATAAGTGGTGCATATGTCCGTGCCCAGAATTCGAACCTGCGAACCCCAGGCTGACAAAGTGGAGCATGTGAACTTAACCACTATGCCACCAGGCCGGCCCCTAATGCATTTTTTACTGTGATAAAAAACACATAACATAAAATTTACCATTTTAATCATTTTTAAATATACAGTTCGGTAATGTTAAGTATATTGACATTATTGTGAAATAGATCTCCAGAACTTTTTCGTCTTGCAAAACTGAAAGTCTATACCCATTAGATAGCAACACCCATTTCCTCCTCCCCCGACCCCCTGGCAACCACCATTCTACCTTCTATTTCTATGAATTTGACTACTTTGGATACCCCATATAAATAGAATCAAACAAGATTTGTCTTTTTGTGATTGGCTTATTTCATTTAGCATAATGTCCTCAAAGTTCATCCATGTTGTAGCATGTGACAAGATTTCCTTCCATTTTAAGGCTGAATAATATTTCATGGTGTATATATATCACATTTTGTTTATCTGTTCATCCATTGGTGGACATTTGGGTTGCTTCCACCTCTTGGATCTTGTGAAGAATGCTGCTGTGAACATGGGTGTGTGAATATCTCTTTGAGACTCTGCTTTCAATTCTTTTGAGTATATGCCCAGAGGTAGAATTGCTGGATCATATGGTAATTCTATTTTTAATTTTTCGAGGAGCCTCCATACTGCTTGCCATCATGGTTGTACGTTTTTACAGTACATTCTTACCAACAGTGCACAAGGGTTCCAATATATCCATATCCTCGTCAACACTTGTTATTATTATTATTATTATTATTATTATTTTGTATAGTAGCCACTGTAACGGGTGTGAAGTGAGTCTATATTCTTTGTTTTTAAATTATTTTATTGAGGTCATATTGGCTTATAATATTGTGTAAATTTCAGGTGTACATTATTATATTTCAGCTTCTATAGAGAGTGCATCATGTTCACCAATAGTCTAGTTTTTATCCATCACCACACTTATGTGCCCCTTTACCCCTCCCCCCACTCCCTTCCCCTCTGGTAACCACCAATCTGTTCTCCTTATCTGTGTATTTGTTCGAGTCTATATTCTTTTGAACACCTCTATCTTTCTTTGAGCCCTTCCTTACTTTTGGGCACATGGGTTGTTCCAGGATCACTCTGCACTTTCCCTGCCCTCGCCCTGGAATCAACCACTTCTCTAGGGAGCCCTGGTTCCTTTTAGTGGAGATGGGATTTAGAAACCAAAATCCTGGCACCTTTCAGGTTAGTTTTACTTGTGGCATTTCTGCTCTCCACAGGACTTACGCATGATTCCAGTGAGGCTGGGATGACAGACACCTCTTTCCCCTGTCCTCTCCTCCAAACTGAGGACTCATTTCTAGAGCAAGCCTCCTGTTTCTGAACCCAGGGGGCTCCTCATTTCTCCGTGGTCTACTCTCCCTGATCCCCAGAGGGACATTGACCGAGCTGAACCTCCCCAGTGGACATACCTTAGGCTCAATTTGGGATTCCACCTGTAGGAAACATCTCCACACATTTGGAACAAAGTATTGGAACCTGGTATTTAGCTACTTTAAGGTTTCTTTAGAGAGGCAGGACTGAAAAAATATATGTTTAAGCACAACTTCTAAATTAGTATCTAGTTTGGCTAAAAGTATACGTATGCATCTAGCAAAGCAATTTAATGGAAAGACCATAACTTTGAACTCAGTGAGAACTGGGTTTGAATCCCTGCACTGCTAGAGATAAGCCCTGTGACCTGGGTGAGCACCTGTTTCTTTGTCTGTAAAATTAAGATGATAATACCTTGTAGAATTTTTTAGTGGATTGGAGACGAGTCAAGAGACAAGGATGCTGTCTGGCATGTGGTAGGCAGCATGTACCTCTCTAAGGTCACAGCATTTCATCAGTCCTGGGGTCAGCAGCTTCACTTAGCAGTCCTTTGGAATCCAGCAGACTTTGCCCACGAAAGTTGGCTAGCCCATGCTATGGGGTCAAGTGGCTACCTGCTTATGAGTGATTTGTAGGCTTCAAAACTGTTTTCTTTCATTAGAAATCTATATCCACTTAAAAATATAATTTCTTCCTTCCAGTGAACCCGCAACATTTCAGAAATACCACCAAGTGAGTCTGCTTGCAAGATTTGATCAAGATCTGGATAAAGTGGCAGCCATTTCCTTGGTGTTCTCTACAGGATCTATAATAGGCCCGAAGTACAAGCTCGGGATTCTCCGAATGAAGTTAAGGTCACTTGCCCATCCGGAGAGGTGAGCTGTAGGCAGAGTTTGACAAACCCTCGTTTTCCAAAGATGTTATTCATTCCTGTCCAATATGCTTGGTCTAATGGTTTAACAAGACTTCATCAATCACAGTGAAGGAAGTGAGGGGTTTTCCAAAAATAGATTTGGTAAAAACAAGTAGCCTAGTCATCCAAGCAAATTTTACTGGTATGCACTTAAAGATAAATGGCCTGACAATCTGAAGAAATAATGTTGTTAAATGTTAGACTTATATAATTCCTCCCTAAGCACGCACCCACACTGCTTGCAAGTTGATATATTTTTTTTATTGGGGTAACATCAATTTATAACATTGTATAAGTTTCAGGTGTACATCATTATATTTTGATTTCTGTATAGACTCCATGACGTTCAACACCAAAAGTCTAGTTTCTAACCATAATAGTTGATAATTTGCTGTAGAAAAGAAAGCCTCATATAATTTGGCAAGCTGATAAAACAGAGCTTAGTATAAAAAAAGGTACATAAAAATTTGAATGGTTTATTTAATTGATACAGTGTAAACATAGTATATCAATGTTAAATTTGATAACTGCACTGACAGTTTCCTTGTTCTTAGGAAATACACCCTAAAGTATTAAGGGGTAAACAACCTATTCTCAATTGGTTTAGAAAAAGTAGACAACAATGTGTGTGTGTGTACGTAGGGGGAGAGAGAGAGAGAGAGAGGCAGAGACAAAGATGGGGAGAAAGAACAAAGCTGTGATGGTATGTATGTTTCATGACTAATGCCACTCCAACATATAGTCCTAGCATCGAATCTATGAATGGAGAGAGACAGGAAAGGATGTGAGCAGTTGGGACTTGATGTTTATGACTACCTGTTTCCTGAAGGTTTAGGGTACCCTAATTTTTTTTTTTTTTTTTTTTTGGTGCGGAAGATTGGCCATGAGCTAATATCTGTTAGCAATCTTCCTCTTTTTCGTTGAGGAAGCTTGGCCCTAAGCTAACATCTGTGCCAATCTTCCTCTATTTTGTATGTGGGGCGCCACCACATCATGACTTGATGAGTGGTGTAGGTCTGTGCCTGAGATCCGAACCTGTCAACTTGGGCTGCCGAAGTGGAGCCCGCCAAACTTAGCCACTATGCCATGGGGCCGGCCCCCCCTAAAACATTTAATGATACAAGTTTCTTCTAAGAGGATAGTCATTACATCTTAAAACTATGGGACTTTTTCATACCGTTTTTCCTCATTGTCTCAGGAATACATGTTCATGTTATAAAATCTGGAAAGTACAGAAAGTGTGAGGAAGCAGAAAAATATCACCCATAATGTCATTATTCAGAGACAGCCACTGTTAATATTTTTGGTTGTTTCTTTCTATTATTGTTTTTAACCTAGTGAAGTTATGTGGTAAATAAAGTTTTACATCCTGTTTTATTCTTGTTGTTAATGTTGCTTATTTACCATAAGCATTTTCCTATAACATTAGAAATAATTACTAAATAATTTTATATCCTAAGGATATAACACAATTTGCTTTACTCAAATGGGTTTTTTAAATTATTTTATTGACAAGGACATTTTGTCTTATTTTTACAGGCCCCAGTTGTGTCGGTATGATCTTGTACTGATGGAAAATGTTGAAACAGTCTTCAAACCTATTCTTTGCCCAAAGTTGCAGATGTAACTGTTGCCGGGACTCGTAGGCACCAGTAACATCAAGAAAGCTACAACTACAGGCTTTTTTAAAGCTTCACCTCACTTTTTCCGCAAGGCACAAAAAGTACGGAATAACCAGGGATTTTTCCAGCAGTGTCCCGGATGTCACATTGCAAAATGTCAAACGATCTTGGATTATAAAACAGTCCCGGGAAGGGAGCCCCTAAGTAGGGCAAGTCAGAAATAGCCAGGCTCCGACAGCTCAGCGCCTTGTCTGGCTGTGTCCTGGGGCCTCGTTTGTTCCGACCTGTCGATTCTGCTGTCTGTCACTCAGGCAGTTCTGCCCATCATGGCGGCCAGCCGGCATCTTCAAGGAAAGGACTGGCTGGAGACCTCGCTTTGGACTCGACTCCACAGTCACTGTGCCATGTTCCTCCAGGTCCCCACGTGCAAAATGGAATGGAAACTGACCTACCTCACAGGGCTATTGTGTGGGTTTGGGAGGCAAGTCTGTGAAGGGTTCTTTGAAATCCCATGAGTGCCACATCCGTGAGTGCTTTGATAAATGTGAATATGCTTTTATTTATTTTGATATAGCTTATCTAATATGCAATCAGAGAGCTTCTCCTTATCAACACTAGCTTCTCTCTTGGGCTGTTTGCTCTCAGAAGGCAGGAAAGCCACACCCCTGGCTGCCCACCTTCTGTAAAGTGGGGTTGGTGCAGGAGGAGGTGGGGACAGACTGACAGCAAAGGAGTGGCTGCTGGGACTAGATAGTAAGTGGATGAGGGAAGTAGGGCAGATGAAGCAGTGGCACAGCCTCGCTCACAGTGACAAGGGATGGAGCGAGAGGCAGGAGAGAACCAGCAGAGCTTGTTTTTCACTTAAGGTGAAGAAGGATCACTTTATAGGCAACTCACATTTTAAGCAATTCTTAAGAAACATTTCTTTTTCTTTGTTACTAATGTAACCATGATTATTGAAGGAAATTTAGACAATGCATAGATACAAAATGAAAATATGCTATCCGTAATCTCCTCTGTTAGAGGTAGTTCATGTTAACCTTTTGGAGTGATGTTAAATAACTTGCTTGGCTAACACGTGAATTCAAGCATTAACTGGTTTGCTCTTGGAGCATTGGAAGCCCCCAGTCTGAAGAATTCTTAGGCTTCTCCAGGAGTAGGTGTGATCCATGAATCTAGAATGACAACAGCAGCCAAGTCAAAAGGGCCAAGGCCAGAGATGTCAGAACCAAGAGAGGATGATCCCTGTGGTCAGATGCCCAGTGTGGGGACAGAGCCAAATGGGTGGACACCACCCATCCCACAGCTGTGGCCATTGCAGGAAGGTTCCTGGGATTCCTGTCACAGGTCCCCTAACCTCCTCCTCATCCAAGTGACTGCTCTTCTACTGCTTTCTGTGAGAACAACCCTTATTTTAAAGAAATGGACTCTGTATTTCATAAATTATAGAAATCTGCAAATATATTCCTGTGTGGCACATCTTACAGATTTATATAGGTAGCAAATACAGAGTCTGTTTCACTTACGTGAGGGATGCCTGCAGTGAATGCCTAAACTCTGAAAGCGATAGTGCTCAGCGATGCCCTGGCCCACTTGGACATGTTCTCATCCTTCCTCCTGCCCGCATTTGCTCAGCAATTGTGGGTAGAGAGATCAGTGTGCTGATAAACCCTGATTTCTTTTTAGAGTTTTATTGGTCCTGTATTTTGATTAACACAGTCACTTCTTTGTCCTCTTTGCCTTGCCTGGTAAGCAGGGAGTCAAAACAACAGTAAGAATATGCCAGGAATAGCATTTTTATCAATTTATAAACTCCCCGGCAGTGGATCTCTCTCAGCTTCTTCTCCTGGTGTCTCCTAGCACGGTACCTGGCTCGCTGTGGAATGGGTGGATGGATGAACAAATGGATGAATGAATGGATAAGTGGATAAGTAAAGGAAGGAAAGGAGTTTGTTCACTGGAGTGGAGGTGAATTTCAATGGGTTTCATATAACAGTGACCAGGAGAAATGAAGGCAGTTACAGGTGTGGCCACTCGCTTCTCAGAGTCTTTCTCCCAAGGGCCCTGGAAGTTTGGACTCTGTCTCTTGTTATCTTAGTCTCTCTTCCCTTCTCTTGGTCAGTGTATCTGTCTGAATCCCAACTCCAAGATGCAATTAAATTGCAGTCGGCCCTCTTCCCTCCTGTCTTCACCAATGATCTCCTACTCAGCCCGATTGTCACTTCTTCAGGAGAGTCTTCTCGGACCTCATTTCTCCATATAGCGCACTGTACCTCTCCTTTGTAGCACTTTTCAAATTGTATTTTTTAAATATTTATTTGTGTGATTATTTGATTAATGTCTGTCTTGCCCTGCTGTAAAAGGCAGGGGCCGCGTGGCCAGTGTGGTGCCTACAATATGGTCTGCACTTCGTAAATACTTATTAAATAAACACTATCTTGTGAGCCCTATGGAACCATGTTTGGTTGTGAGTAAAGACCTCCCCTCCACCCCCAGCCATAGCCCATTTCCATGGAGGCACCCGCCCTTCTCTGCCTTAGACTTCTCTGCTAGACACCTTTGTTATTATTGTCTCTGGAGGCCCATTTCCCAGGCTTCCTGGGAAAATGAGAGGTTGGCTCTTTTTCTCACTCCTCGTCGCACCTTCCAGATGGTCCCAACACCATTCTTCAGCAAGCCCCCACCTATCATGAAGCCTAGGAGATTTTGCTCTCCCCCACTCCCCTGTTTAGCACCTGGGCTAAAACCCTCCAGGACCTTCCAGCATTACTGGATGACTCCAAGCTCTGGTTCCAAGTCCCCCTTGCTTGCTTTTCCAGGGCTCCCTTCTACCACCCGCTTTGCCACCGACTTCGTATGTGCTTCCACCTCTGCTTTTATTACGCCATATTGTGATGTGTTTCCACATCTGTATCCCCTCCGAGACCGTGAGTGCCACAAGAGCAGCTGCTGCTCATTTGTCCTTGCTGCCCCAGCACCTAGCACAACCAGGCACAAAGAAGGGGCCCAATAAATGTCTGTTGAACAGAATGAAGCGGACTCATCCTTAGGGACTTGGGAGTCACCTCCACTCTGATTTTGACATCAACACACTTAACTGTGTTAGTTCCAAACCTAAACTTAGAACCTCCCACCCTTGGGAGGATTCACCCTGAGCTAACACCCGCTGCCAATCTTCTTTTTGTATGTGAGCCGCCACTACAGCATGGCCACGGACAAGTGGTATATGTAGGTCCACACCTGGGAATCGAACCTGGGCTGCTGAAGCGGAGTGCCCTGAACTTAACCACTAGGCCACCAGGGCTGGCCCCAGAGCCACTCTTTCCATTGCTCTGTGCAGATCCGATTAAGCCAGAAAAGGAGGTGCTGTTGACAAAGAGCCATGGTGAGTGCCTGGCTAATTTACTCTCACTGGAACCTCTTGCCTTTTCTTCCCTCCAACATCCCTGAGCCATTGGCGCCACCTGCTTCCCAGTCCAGCATGTGTCCCTGGTGGGGGGTTGCAGCTGTCCTTTGTCAGGCTGCCTGGGCACGTGCTGTAAACAAGGGGCCTCAGTGGAGGCTGGTGCAGCCCACAGGCTGTGCACTGGCTGGTTAGAGTTGGCTCTGCGGGTGCTGGATTAGGGGCCAGGAGGGTTGGGGAGGCTGAGATCAGCGTGGACGTGGGTTGGGAGTGGGGAACACAGTCCACGGCTTCTTCCCCAAGTAGACAGGTTGAGCAGGAGGAATCAGAACAGAAGTCTAGGCGGGTAAGTCAGGGGCTGCAAGCAGAGGCTTGGGTAGTGAGCCTGTAAGAATTTAAGTTTGCACCTCCCAAAAGAGCTCTGTCAAATGTCCCTTACCTTCTCACGTTGGCTGAATGCCACGACCCCTCAGGTCTCCCTGCTGGATTTTTCCATGGACTCTGACACTGTGCACTGGTTCCTTTTCTAACAGTCTTTCTTGGGCTCTCAGGACACTATTCCCCCACCCCCCAAGAAACAATGAATGTTTCTCATCTAACATCCCTGAATGAGCGATCTTGTTCTCTTTCACTGGTTCCACTATTTCCTTACCAGGCTTCTGGTCTCAGTCTTCTCTTTCCAAAAGGTAGCGTCGGGTAAGAGATTAGGCTCCGGTGTTTGCTGGTGTGTGACCTCTGTCGACTTACTTAACTCTTCCTAAGCTTCCATTCTCTGGACTTTGAAGTGGGAATATTAAGAGTCCCTGCTTCATGAGGGTTGTTATATGGAATAAATACATTCATGCTACTGTGGCGTCTGGAGTGTACTAAGTACTCAGTGAATGTCAGCTGCTGTTACCTTCCCTCTCATGGTCTCCCTAAGAGACCTCCCCCCGACACACACACATTTCAACTCTCCTCTAGGCAGATGACCTCCAAATCTGAATGTTCAGCCTGAGTTCCAGATTTTCACCTGCTTGTTGAGAGTGTGGGGCCGAGGAAAGAGCATGGGCTCAGGAGAGGCTGACAAGGTCTTGAATCCTGTTCGGCACTCACAGCATGGACTTCACAGCCCTCACAAAGTGACTTTATGTGAACACCAGCTCATCCACTCATCCATAAGAAGGGTAATGATACTTGCTTCTCTGGAGTCGAATAAGCTTTGCCACGCCCATTTCTTCCCCGGCACTTACCATGATCTATAATTATAACTCTCTCCATGCCCTCCCCCAACCAGAGGGAAAGTCCCTGAGTGTATGAGCCTTGCCTTCTTGTCCACTCCCCTGTTCCTTGCCCCAGCATACTCCTGGCACAGGCTCAATGATAGTTTTTCATTCACTTTCTCTCCTGTATTCCATTGACTTCTCCAAGTCAACATGTACCAAACCAAACAAATCATCATTTCCTTGCTAGATCGGACCCATTAACTTAACAAACATTTATTAAGTGCCTATTAGAAGCCAAGCACAGGGCTAAGGGTTGGGACAGACAAAAGATAGATGATACATTGTCTCACTTATGGAAATGTTCACTCTCTTCTGGGGAGACGGATAATGACCCTGGAGCATAGTATTTGCGTTAATAGGAATACACACACTCCACAGGGAGCCCAAGCACAGAGGAGGAACAACCCTTCTGACTGTAGGATCTGGAGAAGACTTCTCAGAGGAGGTGACAATTGCCCTGGGTGTTGATGAAAGAGTAAGAATTTTCAGGCAGAGAAGATTGCAAGATGGAGGGAAGAGTGTTGTCAGAGGCAAAAACTAACACGGTGCACGTTCAGCTGTTATGGAGGGTTTGAAGAGAGAAAATGAGAATGGAAGGCTGAGACCATTTTCCCACAAAAAATTTCAAACACATACAGAAACAGAGAAAATGGTATAAAATCCGCCTCCAAGTGCTCCTCATCCAGCTTCAACAATTATCAATTCAATGGCCAATCTTGTTTTATTTATATCCCTACCCACTAAACTCCCATCCCATTAATTTGACCCAAATCTCAGACATTGAATCATTTCATTCATAAATACTTCAGTATTTTTTTTAAAGATTTTATTTATTCATTTTTTCCCCCCAAAGTCCCAGTAGATAGTTGTATGTCATAGCTGCACATCCTTCTACTTGCTGTATGTGGGACGCGGCCTCAGCATGGCCGGACAAGCGGTGCGTCGGTGTGCACCCGGGATCCGAACCCGGGCCGCCAGCAACGGAGCGCATGCACTTAACCGCTAAGCCATGGGGCCAGCCCAGTACTTCAGTATTTTAAAAAGATAAAGTATATCCCCTTTTTTCCTTCTTACAAATGAGTCATATATACTCTAACACTGCAACTTGGTTTTATTTTTGGTGAGGAAGATTGGCCCTGAGCTAACATTTGTTGCCAATCCTCCTCTTTTTGCTGAGGAAGATTAGCCCTGAGCTAACATCTGTGCCCATCTTCCTCCATGTTATATGTGAGACGCCACCACACATGGCTTGATGAGCAGTGCATAGGTCTGCGCCCAGGGTGTGAACCTGTAAACCCTGGGCCGCGAAAGCAGAGCATGCTAACTTAACCACTACACCACCAGGCTGGCCCTACAACTGGTTTGATTTTTATCCTAGCCATCTATCTGGCAACTGCACTGTATCAGGATATATAGAGTTGCCTCCCTCTTTTAGGAAGCTACCTAGTGTTCCATTTGTGAATATACCATAATCAACCTCACTAGTCTCCATTTGGGTTGTTCTCAATCTCTTGATATCAAAACAAAGCTGAGAGAATACCCTTGAACATACATCTTTGTCTACCTATGGGCACATCTATAGGTTAAATTCCTGGATGTGAAATTGCTAGGATCTTGTACACTTTGAAAACTGACAGGTGCTCCCTGTTTGGCCTAAGAGGTGCTTTGAATAATATGATGAGGATGCTTTCTCTCTGCTGTCCAGGCTTGTGACATTTTGGAGTCCTCCTCTCTGTCCTTTCTTCATTTAATCAGTCATATGTCCTACCAACTCATCTCCTCCCAGTCTGACCATCTTCCTCCCTTCATTCCCACTGCTGTGGTCCTGGCTCGGGCCTGCATCCATTCTCACCAGGACAGCTGCAGCTGTCAACTCAGAATGTGTTCCAAGCATCTGCCAGAGCAAAAATCCTAAAACGGAATCTCTTGCTTAAACACCTCTGTTGGTGTCTCACTATGTACAATATTAAAAAATCCAACTCCTTAGCCTGTCTCTCATTGCTTTCCAGGTTGTCTCCAACTTCTCACTCATTCCTCATACACCCTAGGATTCACTGAAACTGAACTCTGGTGCCTTATTTGGGCCCCCAGCTCACCATTTCCCTCCTTTCTCATTGTGGAAATCTTGCTTATCCTTTAAGGTGAACTCAAACCCCACCTCCTCCACGAATCCACGCAGTGCAGGCCCACTGGTGTTGGACCCAGGTTGACTTGGATTCTAATCCTGACTCTCTTTTGGGGGATGTCACTTAATCTTTCTCAGACTCAGATTTTCATCTGTTAAAGACAAATATACTAACCTTGTAAGACTGTTGTGAGGATTAGGGATAATGGGCATAAAGTAGGCGCTCAATAAAGGTAATTTTGATTATTTCCGTGGTCACTAAGACCGTCCTTGATTGGAGCCCCTGGTTCTACACTGGCTGCATTTGCTTTGTGTTACAGCTGGTTGTGGACAAGACTGTCTTGACCACTAGACTGCAAGCTGGCTGTGGGCAAGGCTCGTGATTCACCCCCGGATCTCCCAGCGCCTGGCGGAGGGGCTGCAACTATGTGGAAAGAGACAGACTTGGGAAAAAAAAAAAACAACACAGACGGAAGGAAGACAGACGCACGCGCAGAGGGGCTGGAAGTCAGCTTCCCTCTGGAGTCTCGGCCCGGGAGCACATCCGGCGGAGTCCGGCCCGGGGGCGGGGCCTGGATCTGGGGGCGGGGCTTGGCGCGGACCCCGCCCCGGTCCGCCTGCGAACGTGCTCCGCTGGCGCAGTCCGCGCGCAACGTCGTCCCCGGCGGCGTCTCCAGGCTCCTCCGTGCCTCGGCGGGTCCGGGTGCGGGCGCCGAGATGCGAGGCCTCCTCGGCCTCTTGCTGGTCTTCGCCGGCTGCACCTTCGCCCTGTACTTGCTGTCGACGCGACTGCCCCGCGGGCCGACACTGGGCTCCGCCGAGGAAACTGGAGGCAGGTGTGTGGCCGGGGTGGCGGGGACCGGGGTTCGGGTCAGAGGAAGGGAGCCAGGTCCGCGGATGGGGTCTGGGAATCGGAGATGGGGGTTCCCAGATCAGAGGCCTCGGGTTCGGGGTTTAGGGTTCAGTTCTAGGACTGGAGCTCGGGTGTGGTGTGCGGGCCGCGTCTCCACGGGCTCGGGCAGGCCGGGTGGATGGGGCGGGGCCCTGCGGGCTGAGTGGGATCCTGTCTGGGCGCGGCCGTGCCTCTGGGTGGTGATTGGCGGAGGGAAACGCGGCGCCTACCCCGGCGGAGCCTGCACGCGCTCGTCTGTTCGCGCGGGGCATCGCCTCTCGAGCCGTGTTCCCATCGCCTTCCCAGGCCCAACCCTGACCCCCATTTGCAGCCGACCCTCGCCCCTGTGTGGACCCGCAGCCTCTTCTTCACGACTGCTCTCAGCCGCCCTCCATCGTCCGCCCCACCCGTCCTCACTTCCGTCAGGTCTGCCCTTGGGACTTGAAGGCATTCGGTCTTTAGGAGAAACGTTGCACGGACAACTTTAAATTATTCACGAATTCACGATCGGGTCCGCCTCTCTTCCTGGCTGTCTCTACTTTTCCCCTTCTCGTGACCAACTGGGTGGGGCGGGAGGCGGTACAATACGTACCGGGCTGGTTTGTCCTGAGTGCTGCATACTGTTTGGTAAAGTTCATGGAAGTGTGCCTGATAGCGTTGTGTTGTCAAGGATGTTTTTGATAACTGAATATTAGGACAACTGTTTTCAGTTACTGTATTCTTTTGCTTTAGCTGAGAAGGGCCTGCTGTGGGCGTAGGAAATACTAAGAGAAACATTCTGGTGAGAACTAGGAAGGTCTGCTTCTAATTGATCAGTGATGGATTCAAGCGTTGTTCAGATGGTGGATGCGAGGAAGCCTTTACACTGTAACCCTTGTACTGGATTAGGAGAGCACTGAGGACCAGATAAAGGGCAGGGTGAAAAAGCAGCCTTTTTGAAAGGGTTGGTTTCAAGCCTGACATATTATCAGGAAGGTCATGTTTATGGTGTGGGACAGATACACTTTCCTGGAGAATCTTTAATTGGCTTGTTACTGACTGATAAAACAGTCGTTTTGCCAAGTGACTCAGGAGCAGTGTGAAGTCTGAATTATCCTTGGCCTAAAGCTTGCGGGGGAGGGGTGCTCCTTGTAAGGAAGGCACCTGCCTTGTAAGGGGTGTCCTTGGCCTAAAGCTTGTGGGGGAGGGGTGCTCCTTGTAAGGAAGGCACCTGCCTTGTAAGGGGTGTCCTTGGCCTAAAGCTTGTGGGGGAGGGGTGCTCCTTGTAAGGAAGGCACCTGCCTTGTAAGGGGTGTCCTTGGCCTAAAGCTTGTGGGGGAGGGGTGCTCCTTGTAAGGAAAGCTCCTTTTAGGACACCTACCTGGAAAGTAATCCATTTACCTCTTAAGAATAGATCATAAAACGTGAGAGCTAAAAGGGAATTTAGTAATTATCCAACACCAGCCCCACCTTTTTCCGATAAGGAAACTGAGGCCCAGGGACTAGCCCAAGATCACACACCTGGATAGTAGCAGAGTGGAGATGCTAACCCAGGCCTCTTGCTTCCAAACGGAGGCTTTTCCATCTGTCTCTGCTGTGTTGTATTAGGTCACCCATCATCCTGGTCTCCCATTATGTGTGTGTTCCCAGCAGACCAGATGATGGGCACATTTATAAACGTACTTTGGGAAAAAGACACAGGAAGTGACTTGCTTAGGTACTAGGCTGATCTGGACTCATCTTTCCATCTGCTTTTCCAAATCCCCAGGTCACTGTGGTTCCCCTCAGACCTGGCCGAGCTGCGGGAGCTCTCCGAGGTCCTTCGAGAGTACCGGAAGGAGCACCAGGCCTATGTGTTCCTGCTCTTCTGCAGTGCCTACCTCTACAAACAGGGCTTTGCCATCCCTGGCTCCAGCTTCCTGGTCAGTGCCCTGCCCTCCTTCTGTGCCTGCCGGGAACACAACTCCTGTCTTTGTAGAGGGGCCCTTAGGCTGCACATCAGACGGTCAGAGGACAGACTGTTAGGGCGGCCGTTTATCGACAGCGTCCTCTGTCAGGCAGTGTCCTGGTTGCTTTACCTTCATGACCTTATTTAATTCTCCCAACAGCCAATAATGGGCATGATTATCCACATTTCACAGATAACAAAACAAATGGTGAGAAGTTAAGTAACTGCCCAAGGTGACAGGGCGAGGAGAGGTAGGGCTGGGGTCTGAACCCACCTCTGCCCAGCTCCAGAGTCTGCCTTTCCTCTCAGGTATGCTGTTTCTGTTTCTGAGGCATTGATAGCGATGGAGCGCTGTCCTTGACCCACGCATGCGTGTGTCCTTGACACACACACACACACACACACACACACTGGGCTGGGTCAGCTCTTCCTCCTCAGAGCTCCTGTAATGTTCTGCATTTTGACACTGTTTTTTATTTATTTATTTTTTAATCTGTTTTTTTCCACTAGTCTGGGAGTTCCTTGAGTCAGGGCCTGTTCCTTATTCTCAGCCTTTGTATTCTTTTGCCTGGCATGGGGAAGTGCCTTCATAAATGTTTGATGAGCAAATGCCAGTTGTTCATGGTGATGTTGGCTGTAGAGGATCGGGACGTCTCCCTGGTGTGGAGAAGACAAGTCATTCTGATTTTCCAGGTGGCCCCCCTGGCTCTCGGGAGTTGCAGTGTTAGACCTGGGCTTGTGCTCGGCTATTGGATGCTTCTCATCAGTTGCCATCTCAGGTTATACAGAAGAATGTGTGCTATCCTCCCAGCAGCATTTTAAGCTGGTTCATGTAAATGTATGTATATGTTAGGGCTTGGGGTAGGTTTGAATCCCAGCTGTGTAACCATGGGCAAGCCATTTAGCTTCTCCAACCCTGTTTCCTCATCTGTAAAATGGGAAGACTCCTACTTAACCCCCTAGGATTGTTATGTGGGAGCATTAAGAAAACAGTGGGTGTAGAGTGGCTGGCCCGGTGATGGTGCCTGGCACGCAGTGGCCCTCAGCACTTGTTGAATGATTGAGCAACTGAGCAGGAAACCCTGAAAGCTTCCTTCTGTCCTGTTTCTCTCTCTTGCCCCAGCATCTTCTCTCTCCTGCCCCAGCATTCAGCTCAGGCTGGATCCGCCGCTTAAGCAGTTTCTTTGTTAGAAACCAGAAGAAAAGCAAACGTGTCTGTACCAGGAGAGACAGGAGAGGTGTGTGGTGCTCAGGGTCAGGATCTGACTTCTTGGGGTTGCCCCTGTACCTGCCTTCCGTCTTGAGCTGATCCCTCTTCAGGGCAAAGAGCCAGCTGCTACCCTGGGGTGAATCCAGTCTCTGCCTAGTATGATCTTGGGTGCCATACTTACTGTCTCACCCCTAGAAGGGGGTAAGGATGGTATATGACACAGGGTCGCAGTGAGGATTAAGTAAGACATGTGGTCAAGCACTTAGCACCTAGTGGGTGCTGTGGAGATCCCCACCTTCTCACTTCCACATTCCCCCTTTTTTGTTTTTAATGAATTAATTTTTTTAGAGTGTGTGTGTGTGTGTGTGAGTGTGTGAGGAAGATCGGCCTTGAGCTAACATCTGCCAATCCTCCGCTTTTTGCTGAGGAAGACTGGCCCTGGGCTAACATCCGTGCCCATCTTCCTCCACTTTATATGGGATGCCGCCACAGCATGGCCTGACAAGCGGTGTGTCAGTGCACACCTGGGATCCGAACCCGGGCCACCAGCGGCAGAGCATGCCCACTTAACCACTACGCCACGGGGCCGCCACCCCGACGTTACCCTTTTACTTTCTCTCTTGGATCCCATGGTAGGATGATGGTAGGATGATCTTCCAGCCAAAGTGCATTTAGAAATTATTGGTTCACTTTTCCATTTTTGTTCATCTAAGGCTTTTTTGAGTGTCAGCTAGAACTCTGGTCAACATGGAACCCCCAGTGTTAGCATTCCGTATAGATGTAATTCCAGCAAAAAGCAAAGAAACAAGACATTTTATATAGCTTGTGTGGTCTTAGGGAAAATTCATGGTTTGTGTTCATTTAAAATGGTAAAAATAACTTGTGAGTTTTCTTTCTGCCTTCTGGGAGTGTCTGTGTGTGCCAGACCTGCCACAGCCTGTGCAGCAGGCTGGGGACCGTATACATGTATTTTCCCATTTAATTCTATCCTGCCTTCTGAGAGTTTAATCCTCTTCCCAGTTTTAAGGGTGAAGAGACAGAGGCCAGGGTTGTAGTTCCCAGCTCATCACTTTTCATTCACTTCTTTAAAATGGGAGTTGGGTTTTGGCCGGGAAAATCACTGGACGAGGAGGGGACCTATGACTCCTGGGCTCCAGGGTGAGGTGACTGGTAGCTGCCGGATGTTGTAATGGCTGAGGCTTTGTTTTCTTTGCAGAACGTTTTAGCTGGTGCTTTGTTTGGGCCATGGCTGGGGCTCCTGCTGTGCTGTGTGCTGACATCGGTGGGTGCCACATGCTGCTACCTGCTCTCCAGTATTTTTGGCAAACAGCTGGTGGTCTCCTACTTTCCTGATAAAGTGGCCCTGCTGCAGAGGAAGGTAAGGGGAGTGCTGGGCCCCCAGAAAGTCACCCCATGGCCCTGAGGGGAGTGAGGGGCAGGCATTTCCCACAGTGCTCCTCTGTCCTGTGGGAGGTCCTAGGGGTCCTTTTGATGATTTCAAGAGGCACAGACCTGGGATCAAATCCCAGCTCTGTCATTACCAGCTTTGCGACTTTGGGCAAGTTCCTGATTTCTCTGAGCCTCAGGTACCTCCATTTTAAAAACGAGGAGAGAGGGGCCGGCCCAGTGGTGCAGTGGTTAAGTGCATATGCTCTGCTTCAGTGGCCCGGGGTTCGCAGGTTCGGATCCTGGGTGCGCACCCATGCACCGCTTGTCAAGCCATGCTGTGGCGGAGTCCCATATAAAGTAGAGGAAGATGGGCACGGATGTTAGCCCAAGGCCAGTCTTCCTCAGCAAAAAGAGGAGGATCGGCATCGGATATTGGCTCAGGGCTAATCTTCCTCACAAAAATAAATAAATAAATAAAAATAAAAACGAGGAGAACAGTCTCTGCCCCGGAATTTACAGAATACGTAAAGTATCTAGAACAGTGCCTGGTACCAACCTGGAGACCCTTTCTCCTTCTTAATGGCCTTGTCTTCTTTGGCTACAGGTGGAGGAGAACAGAAACAGCTTGTTTTTTTTCTTACTGTTTTTGAGACTTTTCCCCATGACGCCAAACTGGTTCTTGAACCTCTCAGCCCCGATTCTGAACATCCCCATTGTGCAGTTCTTCTTCTCTGTTCTTATTGGTAAGAAGCTGGTGGGGTAGGTTTAAGTCTTCAGAGTTGTCATGTTGGGGGCCTGCCCTGGGTTACCAGCCACACGGGCATGTACTTGCCTCTGAGAGCACAGGGTCCTGAAGAGCAGCTTCAGGTCTCATGACCTAAAGTACTGGTGTCTGATGTCAAATCTACTCAGGCTTGAACCTGAAAACCCATAAAAATACTTTTGGAAAAAATAAGGATTGTTCATTCTACAACTGTATTTGTACCTAATGTGTGCCAAGCACTGTGCTGGGCCCTGGGATTAGAAGAGTAATCTGTGTAAGACACACAACTTGGCTGGTGGTAAGGGCTTGGTGAGTGTCTGCAGGGGAAGCAGCGTGTGTGGGCAGAGAAAGGGTGGGGGCAGAGGGAAGGAGCAGAGCAAAGGGCTTCCTTTCTGGCTTTGGCCCCTGTTCTGATGAAGATATGCCTTAGAAAGAGCAGGTACTAGTGAGGTTTCTGCTTGCCTTTTGACAATTCTGTGACCTTCAGCAAGCTACTTACCCTCAGTGGGCTGCTTGGCCAGATGAGGGGCTGAGACTAGAGAGCAGTGTTTCTGAAATCCTGGGCCTTGGACCACCTTTATGAGAATGGTGAAGTGTTAACATCCTGTCAAATGAGTGACTTATTTTCTCCACACTGGAAGTAAATCACCTTTAAGCCTAAGGCAGGGATTGCCTCTCTTAAACCTTCCTTAGAGCACGGGGGAGAAGACTACTCAGGGCTTCTAGGTCAAACATATCAAATCTGTGGTTGAGCAGCTGCTATTAATAGGGAATTCTTGAGAGCAAGTGAGATCTTAAATCGAAGCAAAGTCTTCCACAGCTAATTCTGGTCATATCGGCTTTCAGAGTGCCTCAGCACCTTAGTTAGCAGCCTGTAATGACCTGGGGGGCACGAGGCTTGAAAAGACTCTGGAGCTTGGGGTTCCAGTCCCCCCTCTGACAAGCTGTGACCTTGAGTGTTCTATGATCTTGAGGCATCGTCTACTGTAGAAGAAGAATGGATTATCAGGGGGGCCCAAACCAGTCCAAATCTTGAGAGTGAGAGTCAGGAGAGGGTGTTAGAATGCAGATTCCTGGGCTCTCCCCCAGACCCAGGTAACCAGAATCTTGGGGGTGGAGCCCGAAGTTGTGTTTTTAACAGCTTCATCAGGGGATTGTTATGCAACCAGCGTCTCCAGCCACCAGGCAGACTTTTGGGATCCAGTGGATTTGATGACCTCTTAGAGGCAATATAGAACATGAAAAGTAGTACTGCTTCTAGGGAGATTGTCTGTCTTTATCTTATGCATAGTGTAAATCTCATAATGCTGGTGCCTCTCTTCACTTTGGCTGTTGGGCGCTCAGAATCAAATTTGGGGGCACCTCTAGCAAATGGGCAAACCTTATGCATTTTTGTACTAACTGTACTCCCTTATTTTTTTCTCCACTCATTTTGCTTTTCCTATTTAAAAAATTTATTGTAGTGGATATATTTTTGTAAACCACCTTAAGTCTTTTGTTGAACACGGCAGATGTATATGGGGCTGAGGAAAGAGGAGAAAGAGTGGAAAAGAAAAAAGGAAAGAGGTATTATGTTTAGGGGCCAAGAGTTGGGCAAAAAAGCAAAACAAAACCTAGAGTCACTGTAGTGAATTCCTGGTGACATTTCTGAAAGTTTGTTCTTCATTTTCCTGCCCCGCATAACAGGCCCTTTCCCTTTTCTTCCTCCAGGTTTGATCCCATACAACTTCATCTGTGTGCAGACAGGCTCCATCTTGTCAACACTTACCTCTCTGGATGCTCTTTTCTCCTGGGGAACTGTCTTGAAGCTGTTGGCCATTGCCCTGGTGGCCTTAGTGCCTGGAACCCTCATTAAAAAATTTAGTCAGAAAGACCTGCATTTGAAGGAAACAAGCAATGCTAATCATCTAAATAGTAGAAAGGACACGTGATCTGGATTTTTTTGGTTGCCACGTCCCTGGACTCTGTTGCCTGTTTGTGAAATGAGTGTGGTCCTCTAAAGCCCCTCATTGTTTTTTAAATATTCTCAACAGGTGATTTGGGCATTATTCATCTGTGTGCAGTGTCCTGTCATAAAGGATACTCTGCTCTAGAAGATGAATTATATCAGGTTCTCAAACCAGTCCTGATTTAGGAGGATACTCTGCAAAATGGATGGCCTTCTAGAAATCCTGTTTATATTTTATCGAATAACGAGGAACTCAGGAGAGTCTGTTGTATTTGCCTCTCACCAAGCCCTGAGCTGCCTCAGGAGAGGATGCTGATTGTCCTTGTCCAGAATGCCACATCTGCAAATGAGAGGCTGTTGTGATAGGTGTTCTCCTCTTAAGTCCCTGGTGGATGTTAGTAGTGTAAATGATGACATGTGAACCCACATCACTGACATCACTCATCTTGTTAGTCTCTTGAAGAGTGTTTCTTTGTACTTTTTTGCTGATGACCTACCTCTTTCGTAAACCAAGGGGAACAAGTGATGCACTGCATAGAACTTCCACGTACAGCTCAAATGCACAGTGACTTCTGTGATGCTCTTTTTGTTCAGACACACTGATGTTACTATATATGTCAAATCTCCTTTTTTGCATGTCCTGACAATTAAGCTGATTGCAAACAGACTATTAAATATGAATGGAGAAAACTGTATGTTATGGATATGTTCTGGAGAAATTCTTACCCATCTGGACAGGGCAGGGCCAGGCCCTTGACTCACCTGAACCAAATGACCATCAGTACATTTTCTGATCTGTCTTTTCTGTGTGGGAATCCCTTCTCTGTCTTCCTGCTAGGAGAATGGATTCAGTACACTCGGGTATCAGCCAGTGTACCCTCTGAATGTTTTTTTCATTTTGTCATTTGCTGAGAATAACTGAGGAATAATTCTATTTTATCTTTTAATTTAAAGAGGAAAACTTGGTATTTGGATTACTTTGTTGTATTGTATTTTAATTCTCTGTAGCCATCACTGCTTCCTACAGCTGAATTGGCACAGACCTGGGATAGTGATTCCAAGGACAGAAGGACCTTGGCACTTAAACTGACCGGCTCTGGGATCCTGTACCCTACAGAGTAACACATTGTTTCGTACCAGAACTGTTGCCCTGGGGCATTATCTGCTGGGTTTTTGATTTGGCTTGGCCAAGAGTCTTGCCAAGGCATTAATGTAGGCCACTTGTTCTACATGAATTCTTGGGAATACTCATGTTCAGTTGAAAGAGTGAATTCCCAGTGTTTTTTGGACTGATCCAAAAAACACAACAAGGATTCATTTTTAAAGATGTATTGCTTGAGGGCCGGCCCCGTGGCTTAGCAGTTAAGTGCATGTGCTCCGCTGCTGGCGGTCTGGGTTCGGATCCCGGGCGTGCACCGACGCACCGCTTCTCCCGCCATGCTGAGGCTGCGTCCCACGTACAGCAACTAGAAGGATGTTAAACTACGATGTACAACTACCTACTGGGGCTTTGGGGGAAAATAAATAAATAAAAATTATAAAAAAAAAAATATGTATTGCTTGAAAAGAAGCTTGATTACAGAGTGGGGGTAAGGAGGAGGCCAACTGTACTTTGAAGTTCATGGCCCTCTGTGTTCTGGAGTAGGAGGAGGGAAGGTGACACAGGGAAACTTTCTACACTATTGCAAGTGTGTGCCCTTTGCCCTCTATCAGGGTCCTTAGATTTATCTCTCCCTCCTCCCTCACAATTTTGCAACAACGTGCCTTATCAGTTGTGAGTTTCCAGGCAAAACAGGTTCCCAAATAAATGGATATAAATGTTCTGTGTGGTGTGTGTTTGTACATGTTGCTAACTTTCAGTTTCCCTTGCCAGTGGGAATCAGGATTGGCTGAAAATCAGACAATCCAAAATGGTGTTTTAGCTTTCCACTCTCAGTAGTCTTACCAGTATTATTCTTTGGAAGCCAGATTTTCATTTGCACCTTTTCCCTCTCTATGCTCACTTTATAGTGGGTACTAATGACGGAGGAGTTGCTATACGATGGGCAGCAGGAAAGCTCAAGGAAGAAGCAGAGTGCCTATCTAGGCTATGACAATTATCAAGAAGAGACTTTAACAAAAAAAAAAACGACGATTGTCTCTTTCTTCTGTGGATGTGTCTGACGAAAAAGTCACAGAAACCATTTCCCATCACCTATTTTTCTGGCTGCAATAAACCCAGTCATGTAAAGTCTTCCTCCCCTAAATTTCTGACAAATGCTGAGACTTGTGAAGGCAGTTCCCAGGACACAAACAAACAGTACCTTTAGGAAAAGACAGGACCAGAAAACAGTGAAGTACACTTTGTTTAATTCCATGCATTTGTTTGATAGTCACTCTTGTTCCCATGGCTGTACAATTGTTCAGTACAAAGAGGGAGCCGGCGTCAGAAACCAACACATGGAGCGGGGAACTAACAGGACCGGAGACCACAGGGGAGACTGATGAGGGAGTTCATTTTGAGACTTAACCACAAAAAAGAAGTTAATTTGCTCCAAATTGAAAGGAACTCAAATTATCACAATAAAGAATCAAAGTGCGTCTTCTTACTTCCAGAGTCTGAGAAGTGGTCACTCTGGAGGTGGAGAGTTACTAGGTGATGTAGTCAGTAAGGGACATCTTCCTAATAGCTTGCACACTCTGGCTGGGGTTCCCTCCGGCCTGCAACCATTGGAGGACCCTGTCTGCCTGGTCACTGGGCAGCAGCCTGGGGCTCGGGGCTGGCATTCCCCTGAGTGCTGTGAAGTGGCCCTGGAGAGTAGGCCTGGGACTGTGCCAGAAGTTTCCTTACAGTGGCCTTGCCATCTGCTTGGAGGCTTGGCTCTGTGAAATCCTGCCATCATGCTCTGGTTATGTGACAGTTAACAAAAGCTTTAACCCAACTCCTTTGGGGGTCACCCTGTTTCTCAGAGCAGTGATTTCAGAGCTCCCCTCTTCTGCCACCTGTCCCTGAGAAGTGTTCCCAGTTCCACAAGGGTCCCCCACTTGGCAGCCTAGTTCATTCCAGTTTGAATGGGCGCTCGCAGTATCGGTGTAACATGCAAACAAGCAGAGTAATGTGATTCTTAACGTGCTCGTCTGTGAGGTTGGTAACACCGGTGATATGAATGTACTAGGACATTTATTCTATGAAATCAGCAAAGAAGAAAAATCTTGCTGCCTGGAAAGGCACTAAATTCATATTGACAGTACAAGTCAAAGTGTTAAAAAGAATGTCACGTTGTTTTGGTACATTAGTCTCACAGAGTCTAAGGAAGAAGCAAGTAACTGGGACTTATATTAATTTTTTGTTTATAGAAGTTGAGGGAGGAACATGCTAATTTAACACAAATGATGTAAATGAAGAGACATTTTGAAATTCAATCAAAGGAATTAGTGACTGGAGATTATTCAATTGGAATTGTAGTCCAAAATGGCAGTGGGGGGGCCAGCCCCGTGGTGTAGCAGTTAAGTGTGCATGCTCTGCTGCTGGGGCCCAGGTTCGGATCCTGGTTGCGCAGCGATGCTACTGCTTGTCAGGCCATGCTGTGGCAGTGTCCCATATAAAGTGGAGGAAGATGGGCACAGATGTTATCCCAGGGCCAGTCTTCCTCAGCAAAAAAAAAAAAAAAAAAAAGAGGAGGATTGGCATGGATGTTAGCTCAGGGCTGATCTTCCTCACAAAAAACAAACAAACAAACGAAAAAACAAAAGGGCAGTGGGTGGAGGCAAGTGGCCTTTTCCTGCCAATGGTATTGCTCCGACAGCCATAGGGTGGGATCCAAAAGAACACTGATGGGATCCTGTCATTCTCTTGTCAAGGCTAACTCAAAATCTCAAACCACCTTTAGGAAATTAATTATAAGCTTAGAGCTGGGATGGCAAACAGATCTCCCTTTCACACCAATTCCAATCAAGTGGTAGTTGTTGCTCCAAGTGCTGTGTTGTGAGAGGTTCTGAGGCTGTGTTCAGGCTCAGCAGGAAAGAATATGTTGATCAACAAATAACGTCGGTCTTGGGTGTTTAGAGTGGAGATAGTAGATGGTGGTATGTGGTGGTATTTTGGTTTCTGGCTTAGTGGAAAAACAAAACAGCACACTATACTGCAGAGCAAGGCGGGAATTCCTTGGATTCCAAATATTATATTCTATTTTGCAGAATTCAGTTTCAGGAAGTTCAAGTAGGAACATTTTAAGGGGAGAAAATTGAGACATAAGGGCATGTAAAAGAAGAGTAACTCATTTGATCAATAAGGATGCACTGACACTGAAAGGATGTCAATGCTGCACAGTGGGGGAGGGCATTTAAAATTAGGTTGGAACCAGGAAAACCCAAAACCATCAAATCTATTACTTAGAGTAAGAGGGAAATTTAGCACAATGAGGCCGTGAAATGTATGTCTAGTACTTTTTAAATTCTACTAAAAATATCCTTAATTCTAGAAGGATAAATTTGTTGATACTGAAGTTTTTAAATATCTGAACTTCAAGTAGGTCATAACCAAATCATCTTACAACAGAGCGAGTATCTTCACCTTTCTGAGTAGGAGTTCCACAATCTTGCAAACATGTCTAAACTTTAGTGGTGGTAAGGTCTATTATAATTTCAAAGTGGACGTAGGCTTCTCAGTCCCTCTGCTAAGCAATTTTAAGAGGAATTGTTATACAGAGGACATGATCTAGAAATAGATGGAAATCAGAACCAAATGCTCATCTGCAACACAAATTAAAACTCATTATCTTCCAGTAAGTCAAAAACAGATGCTAAATGAATGTGGACATTCATCCCAAGGGGGTTAAACTTTCAATCAACAATGAAGCTTGAAATCACAGTCCTGTGAGGTTCCTTAAAGCACTGTTACACAGTTGTCAGGACTGAAGGATTAGCTCTTAAATTCCCTGAGCTCTTGATTCAACACTCTTCAGATGACTGTGGAGTTGTTCTCAAAGAAACACACACCAATTCAAAATTGTCCTTGTTAGCTCAAGGCAGGCAGTGAAGGGCAAGGCTGGAGTAGAAAGGCATTTCTCTTTTTAACCTAGACTAAAGACCCTGTTCTTCTATGAAGCCTCTAGTCACTTCTGCTAAGAAATAAATAAAAACGTTCAATGTGGAACTTTATTCAACTCTGGACAATACAGTAAGTGACTGAAGATTCAACACTGTCTGCTACTCAAATATGTTCATAACAGTGAATCGAGATAGGTATATGGCATTATCATGACAGACAGTCAGGATGGGAATTAAAAAAACTTATCAAAATTATGAGGTATCAGGTGTGGGTTTTCTAGCAGGACCATCACTGAAAGGTGTAAGACAGATGCTGACCCTCATGTTTCTCTTTTGCCACTATAGGTGGGCAAGAACTGGACAAGCTGAAGTGTCAGTGCTTTATGTCGGACAGAAAGAGGGCATAGAGTTGTAGGCTCTCTGTTCCCAGAAGAAACAAACCAGAGAGATTCACAGGACAGTGTGGTCTAAAGTCCGAGGATGGAAAATAGGGCCTTTCAAGGTACTTTTCCAGCCCTGCGATCCTCTAAGTGACTAGGCCTCATTCTAGAATTTCTCCAGTCTTGTTATGGGATGACATTACAGCTAGGCATTTTATGTCATGCCATATATATATCTCCATATCCTTTTTTTAAGTCTCCCTGCTACTCCCAACAAGGAGGAAAAAGGTTGGTTTTGTGGGATCTATCTGGCAGGAAGGAGATTACAAACTATGCTGCCAGTTCTTGAAACAATCTAACCCACGGGCCCCGTGCAGAAACTCTCTAGGTCTCTTCCTTTCAGGGCATTAAATAATTCTCTTTTTGCTTCTAATGTAGTCCCACGATTTTATTTCTTAAGAAACTGGAGAAAGTTTACAGCTTTTGAAGTATTTGTCCATCCACTCAGTCATGTGCCCAGCCAGGAGCTTTCATGATCAAGTCAGAATCACAATGTATCCACTGGGCGCCAGGGCAGAACGCTTGTCCTCAGATGATTGTAGTTGTCCACAGAAAACGAGGGGATACAACTAGGATGAATGCCAGGGAGCTCCCAAATGGCAGTTCCATTATCATTCCTTCATAAAAATCATAAAAATCCATAATAATTCATAGTTAGCAATAAACACAATCATTGTGCTACACAGTAAACCACACCTTCTGATCGACAGAAAATGAGAATGATAATAATTATTATAAAATAAAATAACAATGATAATAATGCCATAACTTAAGATCTTTCATGTAGTCCAGCTACAGAATTTATACAAAATGGAATAATTTAATGCAAACAATACTGCTCTCTGTATAAGTTAAACATTTTCCTTCATTCTACCTAAGAGCTATAAATTATAGACACTAAATTTTAAATCAATGTCTCAACATAAAGTGTAAACAAATGGAGGGATCAAACCAGCAAAAGGAACTGCTCTAACTTCCCTCCCGCCTTTCCTTTTTGGCCGATGCAATCAGTGAAACCCAGAGGAGGGCAACGTTTTCATCTATGTTGGAAATGGGTTAAGACCTGTATGTGTCAGTCTCTCCGAATGTCCAATATGATGCCATGTCAGAGAGTCTAGCCATCTTCTTCAGGTCTTGAGCCTAGAGAGGTTGTTTAACAGTAACCGATCTTGGAGACAGAGACAGGAACTAGGCCAACATCAGTTTTTATATAAAATTTTAGATAAAAATGTCCTTAAAGCTGAGGCACCATGAAGTACCTTGGGATGCTTTTCAGAGCCCATGACCCTGGAGACAGGAAGGACCTCATGCCTTGGACAATGTACAATCTTTCCAATCTCTGTTTAGCATCAGTTGTTCTTTCCATAAATTTCCAAATCCAATTATTCAAAACTGCATCAATGCAAAGTGAAGTAAAACACACTGTACAAGTAGCATTTAACAAAAATGCTATTGTGGTGGGAGACGGGTTGTCTTTTGCAAGTTGCTTATTTTGCCTTTATTCTGATAGCGGTAGCCAGTCACTAAAGCTTCCAGGATGGAATGAGTTAATGAATAAAAACAAGGGGGATGGCTTGGCGTTGGACATTGCACAGACTCACACACATCCTAGCTGCCTTCAAAGTCTGTTGTCCTGTTTGAATCAATATGACTCTGGTAGATAAGCAACTTGGTTCCAGGGAGGGGTCATCCCATCTTCTCCACGTAGCTGAACTGAGACATCCTGAGAATGTACTTCTACAAATTCCACATTTGCTTTTCCAACACTGTTGTAAATTTTCTTTTTCTCTTATCCTTCTTTCCTCCTCAGGCCCACCCATCCCCCTCCTTTTTTTCCTAAACGAAGTGATCAACAGGTGGAAAGGAAATAGGCTACAAGAAAATGGCACTTGAGTCTGAAAAATCAACACATTGGTCAAGGTAACACATTTGTCAAGGTGATGACAATGACAGCATTGAAGAGGAAGTATTTGTCAGGGACAAGGTTTGATGCTAACTGTGTAAGTCTTACTACCGAATGCTGCTTAAAATTTTAGAAATGAAATCAGCTTCCAAATACACAGTTTTCTTTTTCCTCCTAGAGGAAGTACATGCCCTCAAAGACCCTGGGTGCAAGTATCTGGTCACCAAACTTTTCTAGGTCATTTTCATCACCTATCTGGACAAGCTGGTTGAACTTAATGTGGCCTGTTCACAAGTTACCTGGAATTGCTTTTCTTTTGCTCTTCTTCATTTTCTAAAACGCTCAATATGTCTTGCTCTGGCTCTTCTTCAGTCACTTATGGCCAAAAGAACTGGTCCCCTGTTCAAGTAGCAATAATACCTCCTGGCCCCACCAATTCCCAAGGATATTGCTCCTAACTGCCACTTCTTTCTTTTCATTCTTCCTTTCTCTCTCTCTTTTTTTTTGCAAGAGATTATTGTCTCTCTCTATATATCATATATAGTTCACTCTTTACAGTACAAAGTGTTAAAATGTCAAACAAAAATAAATATCAATGTTACAGTAGCTAGAATATTCAATAAAATAGATCCCTGCCATTCTTGATTGAGAAGTTCGTGAGACTTAATTTCATTTGGATATTTTTTTCCAGAGATTTGCAAAGTCTCATGTTCCTGTTATTGCAGCTCGTTTCTAGGGGTAGGAAAGATAGGGCAGCTCTCTTCCTAGACAAAAAAGCAGGGAGAGAGTGGGAAGAGTCTCGGGGTGGGATGGATTTGAAATGCCAGTATAGTCATGAGATCTTCAGGATGGGTATTCTTTCATTACCAAGTAGCAGAGCTGTAGTGTTTATTGGTCCTAACTGTGGCATCAGAACACTCCCCATCTGAAGAGTCACAGTCCGATTCTTCAAACTGCATAGGATTCTGCAAAGTCAGGACAAAATAAAACCTTAATTCATTTTTGCACTCATTCAGCAAACATATGTTGAACCGCCCCCCCCCCCACACCGCACTGTGCTGGGTTGCTGGGTAAGGGGGCTATGAAGATATATAATGATGATGATGACGATGACAATTATAACAGTACCAGCACCCCCCACCACCACTTATATAGCATTTACTATGTTCTATGCACAGCTGCAAATACTTTACATCTATTAATCCTCACAACCACCCTATGAAATAGATGCTGTTATCATACCCATTTTACAGATAAGGAGACTGACCTACAGAGAGGTTAAGCGGCTTGTGCAACATCGCACAGTAAGTAAGTGGAAAGGCTGGGATTTGCATCTAGGCAGTCGGATTCCAGGGTATACACTTTCAACCACTATGCTATCCTGCCTCTCAAAAGGCACTAAATGCACTGAAGTGTTACATGTGCTATGACAGTATCTTTCAGGGGACAGTGGGGACATGGAGGAGGAGGGCGCATGCCCTTAAACAGGTTGGGAGATGGGGTCGGGAGGAGGTGATATTTGAGGTAAATCTTGGGATGAAGGGTTCCTGAGCAGCTCAACGTTTGTGCCTCATTTGGGAGCACTGCCCTCACTGCGAGGAGCTCCGTTGATCTCTGCCCTTCTACTTGCTTCACAGAGGCAGTTGTTTTATCTTATGTACTACACGATAATTGTCAAGGCCCTAGAGACTTGAGCATGTTCTAACCCAAAAAAGCTACAAGAAGGGAACAGTGATGAGAGGAGAAGGGAGAGAAGCCCTCACCTCATAACCTCGGTCCTCCGCACACAGCTTGCCCAGAGACATCTGTGTCTTCACGCGGCGCACAGCACACTCCTTGTCAGAGAGCCCATCCGAATGCGAGGATATCTCAATGGGGATCTCCGGCGTCTGGGACAGCAGGTCATCTAGCTTCTCCGCCAGGCGGTCTTCAAGTTTATCTGCTAACTCATCTGGACTGTTTGAGTGGTCACTGGTATTTCCCTCCTCTCCATCAGACACAGAGAAATTCTCAGAGCTAAAGGTTGAATACGACTGGCAACTGCTGATACAGCGATGGGGCCTAGAACCACAAAGAACCAGAACAACTTCATCACAGAAACAGCTACTTCCCTTTCCTTGTCTGTCCATCACAGCTTGGGTGTGAGGTCATCTCGTTTTTATCCTGCCCCTGAGGGAGATTCAAATCCAGATAGGTAGAAACTAGATAAACTTTAAAGCAACAGAGAAGGACATGTGAATTTTGGTTTATATATTTATGTGGCTAAACACTACACTCCAAAGCTACCACTTTGTTGTTTTTTGTTTTTTTTGTGAGGAAGATCAGCCCTGAGCTAACATCCATGCCAATCCTCCTCCTTTTTTTTTTTTTATTTATTTATTATTTATTTTTTATTTTTTTTTGTGAGGAGATCAACCCTGTGCTAACATCTGCCAATCCTCCTCTTTTTTTGCTGAGGAAGACTGGCCCTGGGCTAACATCCGTGCCCATCTTCCTCCACTTTATATGGGACGCTGCCACAGCATGGCTTGCCAAGCAGTGCATCGGTGTGCGCCCGGGATCCGAACCAGCGAACCCCGGGCCACCGCAGTGGAGCGCTCGCACTTAACCACTTGCGCCACCGGGCCGGCCCCAACCAATCCTCCTCCTTTTTTTTTTTTCCCCCAAAGCCCCAGTAGATAGTTGTATGTCATAGTTGCACATCTTTCTAGTTGCTACATGTGGGTTGCGGCCTCAGCATGGCCGGACAAGCGGTGCGTTGGTGCGCGCCTGGGATCCAAACCCGGGCTGCCAGTAGCGGAGCGCCCGCTCAACCGCTAAGCCATGGGGCCGGCCCCCAAAGCTACCACTTTGGATGGCTACTACTAGTTTTTGAAAAAATTGGCTGGTCTAAGCATCCTGTGTACACATATGCACAGTATGGAAATGTTCAAATTGAAATTATGCTTCTTATTCATAGAATCCTAGATTCTCAGGTGAAAGAGATTTTGGAGATTCTCTGGATTGACTCATTTCCCAGATCAGAAAACTGAAGCCAGAGAAGAGAAGTGACTTGTTCCAGGCTACACCATCAGAGACGGCAGAGCTGCGGCTTGGGCGGGGCCAGTCACACCCGGCTCAGTGTCCTCTACCCCCACCCCACCCCAGCTGTAGTTCCCATTGGGCATGGCAGCCCTGGAAGGCCGAGTGCCTTTACCACCCCTGTCCACCGACCCCCCAACAGGAATGAGCTTGGAAGGAACATTCACTCTGCAGCTGGGGACGCTGCCCACCCAGTTAGTGGTTCATTCCAGTTAACATCTGGGTTTAGCTCTGATGTGGCAAAGCTTGGTGCGGGGGGAGCCTGGAATTTGTAAAAGTTCCTCATTTCTTTCCCATTGTTTATAAGTAGCCTAGCAAATAAGAATGCTGTTAGCTTATACTGGTTTTAAAAACAAAACAAATAATAAAAGACCACTGCCTTTTTCCCCTGTCATTGTCTGATCTTTCTGTATTAGTACAAGCAATTTCGATGGCATATGCTCTGAGCCTGGCAGGTGTTTAGGCCAGGTGATGGGCTGGGGGCGGGGATCAAGGACACACGAACAGAGGAAGATGGAGGGCGCCCAGGTGGGCAAGGGAAGTTAAAGAAGGACTCAAAGCTCCCGATCCAGAAGGAGACAGGGAGAAGAATGTTATAACATAAAAAGCAAAACCACATGGTAAAAACATAAATATAATCTGCATTATAGCAAAAATAAAGGTGAGAAGCCATTAGGTGGCCTGAGTTCATGGTGTGTCATAGGAACAAAAGCTGGGAGTAACATCACTGTGATGCCAGCAGAATGAGTTCAGAGGATGAAAAGACATCTGACTCGGGCTCAATCTCGCCGCGTAGGAGAAAACATAGTGTCCAAGAGGACAATAAGACAGCAATAACGACACGGCAGGACTAGCTCAGGGGATGAGAACAGATTTCAACTTTGTGCAGTGTGGGGACGCAGAATACAATTTACCAAAGGACTAGGAGTCCCTTGGTTTACAGAGAATTCCTGTTTCTGGGCAGGGACACAAACCTTCCTGGGAGATTCTTTGAGCCTTACTCTTCAAGAACAGAAGGCCTATTAGCAGAACAGTCCCCCTGGAAGGAAAACTACCTTCCCTGTGTCTACATAGGAGCAGCTCTATTCTAGAAGTAGGGGGTGCCGTCCTTTTTTAATCCTACGAGCAAAATTATCATCTCTGGCTAAATAGGAAGTTATTTCTAAGACTGGGTTGAGGAAGTCTCAACTTATCTAATTATAATTAATTTGAGGTATAAAATTCATGGAGAGTGCTGCAGATTGAACTGTGTCCCCCCCAAATTCATATGTTGAAGGCCTACCCCCAGTGTGACTGAATCTGGAGACAGGGTGTTTAGGAGGTAACTGAACTTAAATGAAGTCATAAGGGTGGGGCCCTAATCTGATAGGACTGTGGCCTGATAAGAAGAGGAAGATCTCTCTCTCTCTCCCACCATGTGAGGACACAGCAAGAAGGCTGCTATCTGCAAGCTAGGAAGAGAGTTCTCATCAGGAACCTTTATCTTGGACTTCTAGCCTCCAGAACTGTGAAAAATAAATTTCCATTGTTTAAGCCACCCAGTCTGTGGTATTTTGTTATGGCAGCCTGAGCAGACTAATACAGGGAGGTATACTAGAAACCAATAGAATTACCCAAAAAACAGCATGGCCATCTCTCATAAACTGCCCACTATATTCTCAATTGTTACCTTGAATGTGTATTTACGTGCCTCATCTTGAAGTTCCTTTGAAATGAATTCCGATGAACTGGGGTCTGCTGTGCACAGCCAGCTACCAAAATGTGGCAATGGGAAACCATGAACACAGTGAGTTCAAATTTCCCTATAAGTTGGCTGTTAGAAAGTGACCTGGGACTGAAAAGGAAGTGTGGCAAACTCAGGATTTCCCTCGATTACACCGAAAGCAATCATATGTGTTTGTTGGTTTTACCTCTGTCTTCGGGGAAATTCAACTTCACTATCTACTTCCCCTTCTTCCTCTTCTGAGGAGTCATCTCCACTCTGAGGAGGACAAGGAGAAAAGAGTTTTATTTCTCTCTCTCTCTCTGTCACTCACACACACACACACACACACACACACACACAGTCCTTGTAAAACATTTAATTATCATCAAAAGGCATTGAGTAGTAGCTTGCTATCATTTTTTTTGTGTGTGAGGAAGATCAGCCCTGAGCTGACATCCATGCCAATCCTCCTCATTTTGCTGAGGAAGACTGGCCCTGGGCTAATAACATCTGTGCCCATCTTCCTCCACTTTATATGGGACGCCACCACAGCATGGCCTGACAAGCGGTGCATCAGTGCGTGCCTGGGATCCGAACCCGAGCCGCCAGCAGCGGAGCGTGCACACTAAACCGCTACGCCACGGGGCCGGCCCCCAAGAGTATCATTTTTAAACATATGTCTTCATTCATTTAGCAACTTTTCCATGTGTCCATGATGACAGGCCCTGTACTAGATGCTGGAAGACATACAGAACTCAGTAAAACATTATCTTTGCCCTCATGGAGGTGAAGGCTCCATGAAGATGTCCAGAGGTGAGTGATGGAGAGAGAAAACTAGAGGTCTTGGATTTTGGGGTGCTCTCTTGTAATCATTGTCACTAGTGGTTCTAGACTCTGACACAGAGACTCCACCAAGAAGTGGTCTTTCAGTTCTTCAAAGCCCAACAATTACTTTCTCCCCTTTTATGTACCAATCACTTTTTCACTATTATAGTTATTACGTGTATATCATCTCCACTACTAAGACATAATTATTTGAGGGTCAGAGTATATCTTGTATTATATTCCTCATTCTACCATTAATACAACGCTGCATACAAAACAGGTGCTTAGTACATTATTGAGTCAGCATGTTGGCAGGCGTGAGGGAGCTCTGGTTGGGAGATCTGAGGCCTCGTGATTGCCAGGGCTCTGTGGTTGATCGGGAAGGCTGGGCAAGTGTCCTGTCTGAGAAGATGATCCTCCCTCACAGGGAAGATTCCATCTCTCTTCAAGGGCATAAGAACAGCCACACTAAGATCAACTGTCCTTACCCAGAGCATCATGATGCACTGTACTACTGCAATCCCTTGTGAGGTGGGTAATTGGGTCCAAGTAATGTACTAAAGATTGAGGATAATTTACTTTTCAAATCCATTGTAAAATACTGTCACTCTTACCCATTTGTATTCTGATATGCTTTTTGAGTAAGAGAGACAGGGATGAAGTGACTCTGGCTGCTGAGATGAGCACTTTACCCTAGGAATACCTGTGGGAGTGTATCTCAGTAAAGAGAAGTTGAACTGCTCTGTGAGGGTGCGGTTCTAATGAGGCCAAATGTATTAGGTGTGTGTTCTGTGGCCTGTAGACACATAGATGGCATCAAAATGGCAGGAGGATGATTAAAAGATACACGTTACTTGGGAGGGGACTGGGGAATGGGGTGATTGCTAAAGTGTTCAGGGTTTCTTTGTGGGGTGATGAAAATATTCTAAAATTGGTTGTGGTTGATGGTTACACAACTCTGTGCATAAAAGCACTAAGTGGTACACTTAACGGGATAACTATATGGTAGATGAATTATATCTTGATAAAATTGTTATAAAAAAATATATGTTATTGGCCGTAGGGGTGGTGGGAGCAGAGAATGGACTAATCCAAATCCACTGCACCACCCAAAACGCAATTTAACATCTTGGAATTCTTAGTCAGCAACAGCACTGTATGTGGGGGAAGAAATACAGTTCTGAGACAGAAGCCCTCACCTTCAACTTCTTTTCTATTAAATGTCTAGTTGACCAAAACATGCTCATTTACATTTTAGACTCTTTCATTCCTTCAACTCAACTCCTGATGAATGGTGATGAGATGAAACAATACTTAGAATTGAGCGTTTACCATGTGCTAAACCCTTTTCATACATAATTTTATTTTTAACTCATTAGCAAGGTGAGCTAACATTTTTAGAAGGTTGCTATGTGCCAGATCCTCTTCTAAATGTTTTATATGTATTAACTCATTTAATCTTCACATCAACCAATGGGGCAGGGTCCCCTATTAGCCTCATGTTATAGACAAGTATATCAAGGTTCATAGAGGTTCTAAGTGGAAGAGCCTGGCTTTGAACTCAGGTCTGTCTGACTCCCAAGCTCGTGCTCTAACCACTATGGTAGGCTGCCTCCCAGCTAATACACCTCAGGCAGCCAGTGGGCAAGGAGGAGAGGAACAGGTTTCCATGACTGAGAACTGGCTGGGTCATGATGGATATTAATTAAGGCAATGTTTTCCAAAATATACTTTGAAGTAGGGTGAAACAGGTGTGGGAAATGCTGGATTACACAAGGTTACTGCATGATTTCTCAAAGCCTAGGATTTGTTAATGTGCCCTAGGAATCTCCAAGAGGGCACAGAGGATACTGTTTCCCAAACTTGTTTTATAATGGAATCCTTCCTTCTTGCAACATCCCTCAGGACTAGGCTACGGTAGTGGTTTCCCAACTATTTTGATTACACATCCTTAATATACATACGGTTATTTATCTATTTATAAATTATATACATTTGAATCAGTCCCCTGGTTCAGTAGTTCCAAATTGTATTCCTTAGTCCATTACTGAAGCAGTGTTGAAAGAAAGTATTTAAAGGAAAAGAAACTTCTATTTATGCTTTTGTTATCTCATCCTTTTACAAAATGTATACTGTTTATGTATGTTTTATAGTGCACATAACATGAGAGGCTCTGACAGTCCTTGAAGGCAGTGACACACACTGCTTTTGTCATTATAGCTCACCTTTTGAAGGGGCCTTGTTTTTCGAGGTAGCATTGGGGGGGTGATGTGATGAGGGATGCCGAGGGATGATGCAGACCTACAGCCGTTGAATTCGTTTTCTTCCAATTTCTCAGAACCTTGGGCATTTTCTGAGAGAGGATTGTGTGCTGGTGACTTGAAAAGGTCGGTGCTCCTCCCCACTGGCTCAGTAGAGGGTACATCTAAGGACCCACACTGTTCTGGCCTGCATTGGAGGCAGGGGTCATAAGGGTCAGCCTGACAACAGTCCCAGGGGCCAGCCCGGCTGTTGTCAGGCTCAGAACTTCTCCAGCAATCTGCTGCCATGGCTGTGGAGATGAGGTCAGGGCTAGAGCCAGGCAACTGTCTCTGAGCATGGTTGCTGAGTGGGCTCCGCAGGGCTGCTGCCGGGCCAAAATACCTCAGGTTGTTGGCGCAGGTTGCAATGTCCTGTCCGTGCATGTTGAGTCTGGGATGGTGACTCTGAGACATGGCAGGAGGGGGTTGCTGGTATTGCTGCTGCAGAGGATTATGGTGATGGGGAGAAGGGTACTGGGATTGAGCCTGGTGTAGATAAGTGGGGTGGGGCGAATTTTCTTGGGCTGGCTGGCTTTTCAAGATGGCTGCAAAGTCACTATGGCTGCCTCTGCTATTCCCTCGGCGGTGGCGTGGTTTGCTCCGATATCGGCTCTTGTTGCTTGAGGTGGACATTTTGGGACTTCCGGACAAAGGGGATGCAGTGGGAGCCACCTCCGTACTGGGGATACCTTCAGATCGCAACAGATCTGGCCTGGGAAAAAGAACAGGTTTGGTTTCAAACACATGAAAACACATTCAAGTTTGGGGAAATGTATCCCAAGCCTTAAAATACACCGACCCTTTGAGTCAGCAGTCACACATTCAGGGATTTATCCAACGGAGATAATGGATGCGCACAAAGATGTATTTTTGAAGATGTTATGTTACAGTATTGTTTAAAATAGCAGAAAGTTAGAAACAACCTAAATGTCCCCTTATAGAGGATTCCTTTTATTCCTTTTGGGTTTTATTCTGTCCTTCACTTTCCAAGGTACTCAATCTCTTTTATTTATTTTTATTTTTTTTGTGAGGAGATCAGCCCTGTGCTAACATCCGCCAGTCCTCCTCTTTTTTTGCTGAGGAAGACTGGTCGTGGTCTAACATCCGTGCCCACCTTCCTCCACTTTATATGGGACGCTGCCACAGCATGGCTTACCAAGCAGTGCGTCGGTGCGCGCCTGGGATCCGAACCGGCGAACCCTGGGCTGCCGCAGCGGAGCGTGTGCACTTAACCGCTTGCGCCACCAGGCTGGCCCCTCTCGATCTCTTTTAAATTCTAATTCTATCCTACAGGTTTCTTGATCTCTTCCTCATAATATCAGCTATCAACCTAGTGCCAATATGCCACGGCATAGGCATGGGTGTTTGCCCATGATCAGAAGTCTGTGTGATGATAGATCTGGATAAATCCCATGAGGAATCACAAAAGACAGAGGTCTGGAATCAGAGGAAGAAACCTCAGGTTAATTAGGCAAGAGGCTAAATTCAGGACGTATGGTCTAGACATGGTCTCCTTGAAGGCTGGGATTATGTCATATCCACCTTTGTATGTGAAGGACACTAGCAAGGAGTCTTGCTCATAGTAGGTACTCAAAAAATGTTTAAAGAAGAGGAGAAAAAGGTGTGCGGGCAGAGGAGGGGGAGATAGCACACAGCCCAAGAGGCTGAGCAAAGCCAGTAAGAGAAGGGCTCATGAGGAGTGACGCTGGCATTCTACCATGCTCCTAAAGGGAGGAGGTCCTCTCACAGCCATGTTTTCAAGTGCCCACTGGGCCAGTCATGCAGATCACGTGCAGGAGGAAGCCAGAGCCTGAATGTAAACCTTGCGTGCACTGACTCCAAGGCACATAGGTAAACAAGAAACAGTTTCTGAACTGATGAACTGATTCAGAATACCAGGTAGAATCGCCACTTCCTTCCCACCAGGGAGTAGCCTCGCCTTCTTTGGGACTAGACAGACACAAATCAGCAGGAGATTTCAGAGTTGGAGGGCCTCCAATTTTTTTTTAAGAACAGAATCCTTCTCTCAAATGAATTATTATGAGAAGCCAGTATATAAAACAGACATAGTGGAATAGTTGAAGGGAGGTGGGAGAGCAGAAGCCCCTCTCTGCAGGGCTCCCCCTCCTCATCCTCTCTACCCCTGCAGTAGCCCTTGAGACACCTCTAAGTCCTAGGGTGTCCCAGACCTTGCTTGGGAACCACAGACATAGTCCTGCCTCCACCTACGTGATGAGGAACCCAAAGCCCAGCAAAGTGGCCTATGGTCTCATAGCCTGTTACTGGTAGATCCAGACAAGAAGCCTCTCCTAATTTCCAGTCTGGCTTATTGGATAGTCAGAGCACAGCTTGAGAGTGCATACAAATTACTTGGGAGCTTGTTAAAATAATTGAGCAGGTCTGGGATGGGGCCTAAGAGCCTGCATTTCTAACATGCTCTCAGATGCTGCTGAACTGAGGACAACACTTTGAATAGCCAGGGCTCATAGGAGACTAGCAGGCATCAGGCAGTAGGAGATGGGTTTTTCTTTTCTTTCAGGAGAAGAACAGTTAAAGGCTTGTCTTAGCACAGAAGTTCCAGGTGTTTTTGTTTATAAGGTGGGTGGGGTATTGTGCTGCCATCAGCAGCGTCCTGTCTCAGAGTCACAGTTCTATGGTCAGCTGGCTAACTTGTGCCACAGAAGTATCCGGATTGAGGAGGCCCTGGGGCTTTTATTGAGGCAAGAGAGAGCTCCAAGCCCAGTAAGGGGCATCTACTTACACAATAATCAGCTACGGTGGGCTCTAAAAGAGAGCTGAAGTGGAAGTGTCATAGGCAGGTGAAGGCTGCTTTTATTGAAGCTGGCAGTGCCAAAATCAGAGGATAACATTGATCTGGCACTTCACAGTTTACAAAACACTTTACAATATATAAAAAACTTGTTTCCTACTATTTCAATATCCATTTTACAGATAAGGGCACTGAGGGATCAGAGTGGTTAACTGGCTTGTGTCCATCACAAAGCTAGTAAGTGGCAGAACTCATAACTTGAACCCAAGTTTTTGGACACTAAGGAATAGTTCTTCCCCCATTCCAAGAGTTTCCTTATTATGAGGTATTTAGACTATCTTACTGGACTACACTCACTTGTGACAGGCTTGGTGGATCCACAACTGAACTCTGACTCTCTTCTCTTTAGTCCTTAACCAAACACAGACTGAAACCTAGGCTAAAGGATAGAGGATGGTTTCTCCTCTCTGATCTCCTCAGAGGTCACTGGACTTCTGACTTGATAATCATTGAACTGTCCAAATAATCCAAAACTTAAATCCTTCACGGGGTAATCAATGGAAAGCACAACTCTTCACAGCTCTAATACCCATTCCAGATTGCCTTCCGGACAAGTCCCTAGCTTGTTGACTAAGCATCTACTGGTCGTGTCAAACTCTTTCCAACATTTTTCTCACAGCCAAAATAAAAGTAAAGATGAGCTCGTATTTTGAAAAATTAAACTATTTTCTTCCCCAGTGATCTTAGTTTTAACTGTAGGCAGAATGCAGGGAGGAGCCAGCAGGTGGACTCAGTCCCTAACCAGTACACCAAAAGAAAGAGGTGTCGGGATGCCAGAAGGTTTTGCTGGATGCTGTCTGAAAACAATTTCTCAGAACTTGACCAGAAGATGGTCAGGCATAGCAAGTAAAAGCAAAATTGGAATTAATCCACGTAGCTCCTCATTAGTAGTTTAGATTTTTCTGCTATGGCAGAATGGCCACCATTCTGAAAGCCTTAAACACATTTTGGGTTGCATTTTCTCATTACCTTTATTTTTATTGCATTTAGCTCAAGTCTCACTGCTGGGTCTACATCCCAGGTTTAGGGATATTTCTTTCCTTTACAGTAATTTAGCTGGAATGGTGTCAAACTCTCCGTTATTTGGGAGGAATGAGGCTGTGGCAGAGGTTGGTAATAAAACCTGGAAGAACATTCCAAGGTTAAGCTAACATAAGGAAAATGTGTTGTAATTAGGGAAAAGGGCAATTTTTTTTTTTTTTTAACTATTCAAAAACCCATTTTTTAGCACCTGTGATTTGCTAGGTGATTTCACATGTTATCTTTTTTAAACTTCACAGAAGTCCCATGCAGGAGGGGAATGAGGGGAACCATATGGTTAGATGTAGGTCATTATCAAAGCCTCTGCCTTTGTTTTTGGTGTTGGATTTACAGGCACTTATTCCATTATTAAAAAGAACTAAATCAATAAATAAAAGTGGGACATGCATGGACCAATGTTGCATAAATCAAGAATTATGATTAACCCAATTCTGCGCAGTAGGGGTCAAAAATAGAAAAAGAAATCTCATGTGCTATGATGATACCATTTTACCCACGGGGTTGAGAGAGGTCAAGTGACCTGGCCCAAATCACACAGCTTATAATAGGCAAGGCCGGGATTTGAATCCAGGTCTGTCTGGCCCCCAGTTTATTTCTGTTTTTGCTATTCCACGCTAAGAAAATAAATACCTATGCCTCAGATAGTAAAGGTTAGATTCCTCGACTTCCTGCCTGTTTTATCTAGAGGCAAGTGTGGTAATGATGAGGAACAGAGTGGCCACACCCACTATCATCTGATAATGTATTTTTAGGGGGATATTTTCCCATTTATCTGCATATCAGGTTGGTACCGGTTCCCACCGTTTGGTCTGCATCCCAGGTTTGTGAGGCATGCCCTTCCTCTTCATGAGTTTCTCCATGGCATTGGGGTGGATTATTGGACGGACAGGGTGTCGTTTGTAGGTCCCAGGATACTTCTTTTCCACTGCTTGCTCACGCCTGCAGAATGAAAGAAAAAGCCACATGTCAGTCACTATAGACAGAAAAGATGGGCAGAATGTTTTCAGAGGCTAATTCCACCCACAGATTCTGGCCACACTTAATAGATACAGGCTATTTGAATAATAAGCCTGCTATTCAGGTTAAAAAGGGAAAAAAAAAATACTAAATTCAAACTAATCTGACTTCACTGTGCTCTTCAGCTCACAGATGGACTCAGAGGCTGATCGTCCCTTCCCCAGCACACCTTGTGGGAGACACAAAGCAATGGTAGAAGTCCTACTTATTTTCAGTTGCTGTTTTGCTCAGGACCCCAGGGTTTTCTTGTCATTATCAGAATTATCTTAAACCACTTTCACCAGCCACCTTACTTCCCCAGTGGTCAATGAGCTCCCACTCATCCACACCGAGCTCTTCTTGGAATGAAGACCCCTTCTCTGAGCCATTCAGTGGGGTGAAGTTGCAAATGCCTGTCAAGTGCATGTTCCCCTATAACCAGCTTTGCAGCAACTCCACTCAACTGTAAACCTCACCGGGGGCAGGGACACGTGCACAGCATATCCCTTAATGAATGCTGGGTGAATGAATAAAATATCTGCCCGTTCTGGAAGAGCAGTACATTTCTGCTGATTGGTGGACCCAAATCAATAAGAACAGACAGTAGGCTGGATACATACTTTTTTTTTTTTTTTTGTGAGGAAGATCAGCCCTGAGCTAACATCCATGCTAATCCTCCTCTCTTTGCTGAGGAAGACCAGCTCTGAGCTAACATCTATTGTCAATCCTCCTCATTTTTTTTCCCCAAAGCCCCAGTAGATAGTTGTACGTCATAGCTGCACATCCTTCTACTTGTTGTATGTGGGATGCGGCCTCAGCATGGCCGGAGAAGCGGTGCCTCGGTGCGCGCCCAGGATCCGAACCCCAGGCCGCCAGTAGCGGAGCGTGTGCACTTAACCGCTAAGCCATGGGGCCGGCCCTGGATACATACTTAATGAGCTCCTTTTCCCGCATTTCTAGTTGCAGCATGATGGCACTCAGTTCCATGTATAAATTATTAGCTCGCTCAAGTTTTCTCTCATAGTGTTCACGAATATCCAAAGCATGCCTATCAAAGAAAACACAGGATCAGCGAAGCTGACTAATTTGGGGGAGGACAAAGGACAGCTCTAATGAAATAAGAACCAGGATGGTTTATCTCAAAAGCATTTCTCTGAGGGCCCTCTAAATTTAAGGTTCCCTTGTCCAATGCAATGATTCAGACAAGATGGAGTGGGAGATGGGAAATCCAAGCTCTCCACTTGGTTTATCTTTAAGGGCCACATCTTGCCATATAGAATAGCCAGGAGGGCCAGAGATAAAATCTGAAGGTGATCTGTGTATAATTTGTAGACTTTGTGTCATGTCGGCAATCTCTTAATAAGAATACAGAATAATATATGTTAATGAAATATGCAGCTAGAGCTGACACCATGATCACTCATTTATACTTATCCATGGCATAGATCCTGCCTAATATAGTGGTTATCTACAACTATGTCTTGTATCCCATAATAGATTATAAGCATCTTGATACCAGGGACCACATCTTATAAATTTCTGGCCTTCCATGGCACCTAGGACAGGGGCTGAATGAACAAATAGTGTTGCTCCAGGAATTGCAGAGATGTAATAAAGGAGGATGACAGAGTTGGGGGAACAGGATAAGACAGAGATACAAAGGAGGGCTAACTTTTAGGGCAACTTTTAAAGAGAATAACAATAAATAGCAGAGGTGAAAGGAGTGTAGAAAGTGCAATGGTGATTCACAAAGAGGGTTCCTGCTAATATCTGAAGACCAGGGGACGAGAAGGTGGAGAAGGAGAGATCAGCTGACCTGAGCTCTTCTCTGCGCCTTCGAATCAGTTCTTCATCTAATCGGTGTATACAAGTTCCTTCACTTTTGATCTTCTCAAAGTGTTTTTTCACTTCTTCTCTCCATTCAGCCTGGGGGAGGACAAATTAAATTTTGTTACTATTCTAGGAGTTTCAATCCCTGATGTAACCATAAGATCATGTACAAGATTTTTTTTCCTGCATGGTTCTACTGAAGAGCCTTACAGAATAGATGTTTAATACCTATTGGTTGATAGCAAAATATCTCATGCTGGAATATCTGCACACTCCACCCCACACCTCACTCCATTTTCTGTATTTAGTCCAACATGCGATGCTGCCTCTTTTCCAGTTTCCTTGCAGTACTGGCCACCAGAAACATCACAGCTGGCATATTAGCCATCACCTCTGGAAGAAAAGAGCTCAATTTTAAGTCAAGATGATGGCCGAGAGAGCCTGGCCAGAAAAATCAGCTCTGATAACCATATGGTACACGTATGTGTCAGTGAGACTACGATCATCTTTACAATTGGCACCAGAATTATTCTTGGGCTTTGTTTAGGAATATATCTTGAGAAAATATTTGGAGTAGAAGACCCAAGGGGCATGAACAGCAGGAGATGGGAATAAAAATACAGGAAATTATACAGGAATTTAGGGTAAGGGAAAGAATAGAAAAAGAGAAGGAGGAGGAGGAAAAAGAGCATGGCTAAACAATTTTGTAGTCTGACAAAATTTTTAGGACAGGGATGGATGTCTAATATGTGATTTAAGTTGTTCAAAATGTAAGCTTCTTCCAATTTCCTAAAGCTTTAGTAAAGTCTCTGACATTCACTTTGACTTTAGATGAATGTTTTTGTTTATTTGTTTTGTTTTTTTAGAAATGAAGGAAAGATGCTGACCTTCATGTTTGAGTCAATGACAGGACAAAGATAAAGGAACGACCATAAGACGGTAGGGATGGGGGCCAGGAATTCCAGGAAGGCAGAGCCAGATTGGCCATGAAATTATAAATCTCTCAGGAATTCACAGAAGTGTTAGAAAGGATATTGGACTTTCCACAGGGCATGGAATTTCAAGTGAATTTTATCTAAATTTTAAGGGGCAGGAAATCTCTGCTGGAATATGGTCTACAGGCAGTTTCTAGAAAAACAGCTAAAGGAGATGTTTCCTCACATTATGTGTAGACTACTGTCCCAAGAAGCTAATGAGATTAAGATAATTTCCAGTGAATGCTAGATGTGTAACTAAATGTTTCTAATTGTATAATCTTCCTCTAGATCTATTCTATTATCTTTAGATTTATGTTAAAAATGATCTCTCTAGATCATAGAGAAAGTTATGCTTAAGTAATTGTGAAATTATAGAAGGTTTCTCCCCAAAGTTTCTATTTCTCATTTATTTTTATAGAGGAAATTATAATTATTTAGAAACTGATCATCCTGTTTATAATATGCTAGATCTTCATCTATATATATGTCTGTCAACTGACCATTGGAGAGAGATTTCTGTCAGTCAGCTGACCTTCGGGCACCAAACCTGCCAAATATCATCAGGAAGCCAAGCCCCAGAATGTACTACCCATTGTTTGGTAACAGTCTTTGACAGTATCTAAGCAGTAAATGCAGGTTTGGTTGAGCCCCAGGTAATGCTGTTTTCTCAGTCAACAGATCAGAGGTATGAAGTAGGAAGAGTATTTGAGCTTTAAGAGGCCAAAGATCGATAATCAAGAGTTGTTGGACCAAAAAAGGATAAGAGAGAGGGCCAAATTTGGGCCTTAAGGCATCCTCTTTTGTGCAAAAACATGTCAGTGGATCCTAGCACAATACTTACAGAAGGGGACCAGGAAAAGGAATACCTCCCTCTGGTGGTAAGGAATCAGATATCACAGATCAGATTTTTTTAATTCTGGAGGAAATAAACCTCCTGATAGCTTATGCGAGTGGGAAACTTAAAGAGAACCTTCTGAAGATTCAAACCTAATAAGAAAGTAGATTTTCAAAAAGAGGTTCCCTCCTGTGAAGAAGGCACAGGAAGTTGGGAAAACGCCAGGTACTGATTAACAATGTGTTCTCCCCAAAGGTATCGTGTAACTGGTAGATGTTAATTTTGGAGTTCCATCACATATACTTAGAATCTTTATGTAATTGAGTTCCAGTTTGCACTTAATCTGCAATTCAGACATGTCTCGGCATATCTGAAGAAATGGAGGGTGGGCAAGTCGGAAGCCAATTTGCAGAGAGACTGAGGAGCCTCTGAGAGAAAACACGTCATGAGGGAAGGAGGACTCTTGTATGAGTTTGACCTATAACAAAGCCACCATCTTAGGAGCAGAGTGGCATTTCTCATTTTCACTAAAATACCTGTAAAACACTGGGTCACAACCAGCACTATTCTGTTACCTTTGACAAAGTGTAACCACAGGGAAAGGAAGAGTTCATTGTGTGAGCAGGACAACGTGCAGCTTTGGAGTCTTGAGAAGTCCAGAGCTTCAGTTACACCAAGAAATAGCAGCTCTCAGTGGGTGATGGCAGGGCCTTAAGGATATGGCAGCATCCCCTGGATGCCTGGTGGGGACTGCAGTCTTTTAGGAGGAAAGAGTGCTAACCAATAAAGCAACACCCAGCAGATGCTAGGCGGGAGACTGCTGTGTCTAGTCAGAGTCAGTGAAAAGCACAGCAGACATTAATAATGAGGCTATTTAAGATCCCCACTCTTCACTGGGGATTCCTCCAAAAATGTATGTGGGGGGTGGAAGGGAGGAAGTAGAAGGTACTTCACAAGGTACTTAAGTCCTGTGTAAGCAGGTAAGGGAAAAATCCAGTAACGCTTGGGTTATTACCATTAGTGGGATCCTCTGTATGTCCAGATAAGGCCTGGGAAAGGCTATAACATTTAGGTTTCTGTCTTCTGCAGTCTTCCAGATATTCAGTCAGAAGACTGAAGCTCTAGCACCCAAACCTTGCTTCTTTTCTCTCCCATAATATAGATATCAAATGAAGTTGAATTGACAGATGAATGGGTAAACAAAATGTGGTATATCCATTCAACAGAATATTATTCAGCCATAAAAAGGAATGAAGTTCTGACACATGCTACAACATAGATGAACCTTGAAAACATGGTAAGTGAAACTGAAAACCAGACACAAAAGGACAAATATTAAATGATTCCACTTAAATGAAATATCTAGAGTAGGCAAATTTATAGAGACAGAAAGTAGAACAGAGATTATCAGGGGCTGTGGGGAGAAGGGAATGGGAAGTTAATGCTTAATTGGGTAATAAAAAATTTTGGAAATAGATAGTGGTGACAGTTTCACAACATTGTGAATGTAATTTATGCCTCGGAATTGTATTCTTAAAAATGGTTAAAATGGCAAATTTTATATTATATATATTTTACCACAATTTTTAAAAAGTCAAGAAAGAAGTTGAGCCAGTTCCAACCTAGCTTGAGGAATAGAGAAGCAGGATGCTGAGGGGCTAAGTAGGGGGAAATCATAGATTCTGAGTTACAAAAGCCTTAGACGTCTTCAAGTCCAACTCTTGAGCGGCACATGAGTCCTCTTTACTGCCTCCCCAGGTATCAGTGCCCAGCCTCTGCCGAAGCACCTACTTGCTCATGACGAGATGACTCTTAACACAGCAGTCTGTCCCTATAATGAGCTTAGTGTCTCTGCAACTCCCAGAATCTGCATTTCTGGGTGGGCACAGTGGCCCTGAAAAGGAAGCTAGAGTAGTGCAGAGGGTGGAAGAGCTCAGCATCAGGGCACATGAGCCCCGTGCAGCTGGGATCCGGGACTGGGCTAAACTGTTCTCTGGAGACTGATATCAAGTGTAATTGAATACCAGGAGCAATAACTGCCTACGCGGAGAAATGGGTTATTGTCTAGGAATGAAGCAATAGCTTTGGCAGAATCTAATATTGTACTGAAATTGGTTGCTTTGTTCATCTGTTCTATATATGCTGCATCTTTATACATGTGCTGTTGATGAGAAACAGATGAAACATTTTCTCTCAGCAAGGAGTCAGCTGGGCTCTCGGCAGCACTTTTGACTGACAGTTTGGGGGGAAGGTGGAAAACAACCATTGACTGATAACTGACGCTGAGAGGATTGTGTCAGCAGGCAGGAGGAGGCGAGGCCTCAGGTACAAGACTGCTACGGAAAGGCAAAACCATGTGCCAAACAACCAGTTCTTCCCCACTGGGGGAGGATAAAGTCAAAACACAATTAATAGGAGTTCCCTAGCTGCCATCCTATCCATCTCAGGGTTCATCAGACAAGGTATCCAGAAGGGCTGGCCCAGTGGCATAGTGGTTAAGTTAGTGCGCTCCGCTTCAGTGGCCCGGGGTTTGCGGGTTCGGATCCCAGGCGTGGACCTATACCACTCATCAAGCCATGCGATGGCGGCATCCCACATACAAAATAGAGGAAGACTGGCACAGATGTTAGCTCAGGGCCAATCTTCCTCACCAAAAAAACAAGAAAAGAAAAGGTACCCAGAATGTAATAACCCAAAGGATGCTTATTTTTATAGCTTTGTGGGAGGTGAATAATAACATCTTACAATCCAACAGTTCTTTACAGTTTACAATACGTACTCTTGCATTGTTATTGTCTCATTTGATCCTCACCAAAACTCCACAAGCAAGGGAAGATAAGATTATCTTCATTGTTTAGATAAGTAAGCAGAGGTTTAGAGAAATTTAGTGACTTATCCAAGATCAAAGGACACGGGTTTAGGCTAAAGGTCTGTTGTTTTTCCCAGATCTAGTTAGTTCATAAATACTTTATTATCGTTAGCCAGAGATGGTCTGTTAGTTCATAAATACTTTATTATCTTTACCCAGAGATGGTCTGAATTTCAGACCCAGAGACAAATCAGCTTGTAAGTACTTGAAAAATCCTAGGAGCTAGCACGGAGAGCAGATTTGGGGCTATTTAAGGAGAGGTAAAATTCTATGTTGGGAGAAAAATGTGGAAGAATTAATGAATATTAAAAGATGTCCAATGTACTAAGTTTTTCCCTTCCCTTCCTTCTCCTCCCCTTCCTCTCCCTTTCATATTCTTGCTCCAAAAGAACCTTTTCTTTTCTGAGTTCAATTTGAAGACTGCATGTATTGATAAAAGTAAGTTCATACAAGTGCAGATACCAACTGTGGGTGCTTAGTTGCACTACACGGTGCTTTGCATATGGCGGGGGCTCAGAAAATGTGGCACTGGCTTTAGAAGTGATACTCTGGGAGCACTCAAGCAAAATTTGTTTAGAATTTGAAGTTTTCCAAGTATCTGCAGTTACACTGTCTCAACGGCTTGCAACTTAGTCGTCTCACGAAAAATTATGGTATGTATAGTTTTATTGTAAAGGAAGCAAAGCTGTGACTGCAACCGTATCCTAAAGTTTTGAAAGATTTCCTAGAGCGTACTCACTATTATTCCTTCATTTCACAAAAGGGCCTAAGTCTTTTTCTGAATACTAACAGAAGAAGATATTTGACAGATTTTTTTATCCAGGGCTCCACACCTACATGTATTTGAATATATAGGCAATAGTTTTAATAGTTCTAACGGAGTTTATCTGAATGTATATCAAAGAACATAGGAAATGGCATGAAGTCAACCTCCTACCTCCTCTTATTTTCTCTAAAATGAAATACTTTACTTACATAATACTTCCTCAGAAACACTAAAAAACTATAGGGGTAAGCCTGACTATATAACTCCCCACAGTTGTGGGGAGAGCTAAGTTTGTGGATAGTAGAAAGTGTGTTGGAACTTGGGGAACAGGATAAGAGTCTCTGATTTATCATTACTTAGAAACTGCAAAAAACCTTGCGCCTTTATTAGGATATTCCCCAAAGTCTGATGCACAGAGTGTCTGTTTATCAGATGCCAAGGAAGCAAGTACTCCAAGCCCCGGGTCGGGACAGGTAGAAAAGCATATGTGAAGACTGGCTTAACTCCCAAGAGTGATGATGCCTCTCCCAGTCCAGTATCTTTTTTTAACACATACTTTCCTGGTAGGTAAACTCAGCACCCACTGGAGACGGGGGGCTACAAGGGGTAGATTGAGACACCAATTGGTAATAAAATGTCTTTTCTGAGAATGAATCTTTGAAATGATACTGGAAGTCAATGTGGAGATGGAATTCATCTTACAAAAATTCATTTTAGAAACACAGTAACACGAAGTGAGACAAAGCTATATGAGAAAAAATTAGGTAATACTGTAGTTAAATTCTGCAAGCATAAAGCTGTAATTTAGGATCATCACATTTACTTCAGAAGCCATAGTTTCATCCCATTTTACTCCTTGTGCTATTGCCTGGGTCTGGTAGGGATAAGGACCTCCCATATACTTACCTCCCACCACTCCCCATCCATATTGATAGTATTAGACCACCAAGCCTTATGACATTTATAGCATTTTTATTTAGTAGTCACAAATTCTTCCCCTCTCTGCACCCATGCCCTTACAATGTGCGTGGCAGATTCTCTCGTCAAGAGGTGAAGTCTATTTTTCAATCTGGGTTCGCCTATGACTTGCTTTGGCCAATGAGATACTAGCACCACGATGCACACACAGGCTTGAAAATCTTGAGCACTGGGGCTTGCTCTCTTGCTGCATTTGTTATCCTGAGAATACCACGTGAACAAGCCACGCCCAAGCTAGCCTGCTGAAGGATGAGAGGCCACCTGGAGGAGAACTGAGCTGCTCTGGCTAAGAGCCAGCCAATCTCCAGACTTGTGACTGAGGCCTTCTAGAACCTGCCAGCCTCCCAGCGACCTGGCAACTGACTGCAGACACGTGAGTGAGCCCGGTAAAAGCCAGCAGAAGAACCGCCTCGCCCAAATTGCCCACAGAACTGTGAGCTAAACAAAAGCTTATTGTGTTAAGCAGTAAGTTTTTGGATGGTTTGTAATGCAGTAAAGGCTAACAGATACATTAAATTATATCTTATTTGGTGCTACTGGGTGACGCATAAAGTTAGAGAAAAGGTTCTCTCTGGGTCTAAGTCTATCATGGGCTCTCTCTGGGATTTCACTTCCTTCCTCTGTACGTTAGCTTTTCTACTTCAAGGAAAGCAATACTTTCATGAAGGTCAGCAGTAATTCTAATTCACATATGTGTACATTACAGATTTCATATCCTCTTTTCCTCTTCAACACTTTCATCAGATCCCACTATGAGGATGACATTCTGATACATGTTATTTTCCAATGAGATAATAATATATGTTAAGTGCTTAAAAACTCCAAAATGTCATATGTGTGAGGTATCATAATTATTGTTTCACAATGAATAGAGTTAATTAATGTAATTGTTATAAGAATTAGAATGGCCTCTTCTAAGAGTTACTCTTTCTCATTGAGAGTTCCCTGTCTCTCTGTTCAGTGGCACCTGGTAGGAAGTTTCCAGACTTACCTGAGACTTGAAGTAAGTTTCTTGTGGGGTGGCAAGTACGTCTGCAGATGCGATGTCTAAATGCATGAGTGTCTGCCGAAAAGAAGGTCGGTTGCGAGGTTTACTCTGCCTAAAAGTGAAAAAAAAGACAGCTTGAGCATTTCATAAGTTGTGTCCAGGAGGATAAAGATTCTATTCTACTTTGTGGAAAACATTTTTGACTCCACGCACGGCTATATCTCAGGCAGTGCTGGTGCACTGAAGAGCAAAAGGAAGATGTAATTATGAGATACCTCTAATGATGAAATGGAAATTTTCAGAATCAGTGACTTGTTTGATAATAATGATCCCTTAGGAGTGGCAAAGTAATAATAGCTACCATTTACTAAGGCCTACTATTTCAAGATATAAGAAATTCTTTTTTTTTTAATATAATTTTATTTATTTATTTTTCCCCCCAAAGCCCCAGTAGATAGTTGTATGTCATAGCTGCACATCCTTCTAGTTGCTGTATGTGGGATGTGGCCTCAGCATGGCCAGAGAAGCAGTGCATCGGTGCGGGCCCGGGATCCGAACCCGGGCCGCCAGCAGCAGAGCGCGTGCACTTAACCGCAAGCCACGGGGCCGGCCCAGAAATTCTTTATTTATAAATACCTCCAAGGCTCCCAGTCTTGATACTACCAAGTGATTCACTCCAAATACACATTATAGACTTCCCTGCAGCTTTAGAGAAGTTTTAAATATGGTTTTGAGGAAGAAGATAAAAGAGAATATTGGGAGAAATATATTTCTTACCATGTCTGTTTCATAAGGATTTTGAATCCATCAGGGCAAGTGGAAGGGACCGGAAGGTGTAGGCTATTGCTTCCAACACCCCAAATAATGGCTGAAGAGTCTACATCTTTGTAAGGGATCTCTCCTGTCAGCAGCTCCCAGAGCACCACTCCAAAAGACCTACAGCAGTACCAGGACAGGTATGGAAGACATTTCAGAAAGACTGATTTGTATTTTAGTTCTTTATTAATTTCTAATCAAATATATACCCAGTTTTAAAATTCTAATACTGCTGTAAGAAAAACAGAAACAGCCAAGTAAACTCTGAAAAAAAAAATCAGTAACAAACACTGCCAGATATTAAGACATATTATAATTAATCCTGGTGCATGAATAGACAGCCAGAGTAATGGAATGGAATACAAAACCAGAAATAGGTCAAATACATATAGGAATTGAGTATTTGATAGAAGTGACATCTCAAATCAGTGGAGAAAAATTGATTATTCAATAAATGCTGTTGAGACAACTGGGGAAAAAATTAAATCTATACTTCATCTTACATCAAGATAAATTCCAAATGAACTAACAATTTAAATGTGAAAAATTAAACCACAAAAATCCTGAAAGACACATGGGAATTTTTTTTTAATAATCTTAGAGTGGTAAAGGTTTTTCTAATTACGAAATCCAGAAGCCATAAAAGGAGAGATTGATAAATTAAACTGCGTTAAAAAAAAAATCTGGCATGGAAAAAAAACTCCACTATAAGCAAAATAACAAAATGTGGAAAGTATCTGTAATTCACATACACAAAAGGCTAATCTCCTTAATATATATAATACTCTTATAAATTGATGAGAATAAAGATCAGAGAGCCTAGCAAAGGATAAGAATATCTCACAAATAAGAAATTACAAATGGTTTGTAAACATATGAAAAAAATGTACTAGCTTACTTATAAGAAGAGGAATGCAAATGAAAACTGCACCTAAGATACCATTTTTTTTACCTATATGATTGGCAAAAGTCCAAAAGTTTAACACATTTTGTTGGTGAGACTGAGAAAACACTCTTATACATTTCTGTTGGGAACATAAATTGGTATAATCCCTAATGAGGACACTTTGGTATAATTACCCAAATTACAAATGATCCCACATTTCTACTTTATCTTATTTACTCTGCAATTTTAATATACACTATTATTTTGGTTTTAAGCATAAAAGTTATTAGTAGCCCATTTTAAGGACGGAAGAAAAGAAACTGCTACTGTTAATAGCAAAGATTTGTAACCTCAGAGGAAAAGTTGATAAAACGCATAACCATATCACAGCAAAGGACGTCACTGATATATATAATGATGGTCTGAGTCACCAAGAACAGGTAAACTTTGTTTAGTGTATTTTATTTAAGAAGGTGAGAATTATGTAATACATTTCAGAAAGACTTTTATACTAAATGTTTATTTGAAGTAAATTTTCCGTTTTCCAGAAAGTTCAGCATATTCTCTGAGGGCCCCAAAACTGATGACTTACTGAATGGGATTCACCCTAATTCCTCTCCCAATCCTTCCTACCAAGTATCATCATATTGGGTAGTACCTCAGATAATATGAAACTGAAATCAACCAGAAGTGAGTAACATTAAAGAATATTTTGGGAAAGTAGAGTGTTGAAGGAGGAAGGTGCTAATAGGGTGAAAGTGGGAAAAGGCTTTCTAGTTGGCACAGTAGTGCTGCTCACCATATATCAACTTTCTCAGAGACAGGTTCATTGCGTATCACCTCTGGCGCCATCCATGCGACTGTGCCAGCAAAGGACATCTTGGTACTTTTATCGCTGAGTTCCTTAGATGTACCAAAATCTGAAATTTTGACTGCATCTGTGTGAGTCACTAAAACACTTTAAAAAGAAATAAAGAAAACATCCAGGTCATTAGTACTAACGAAAACCATGACTCTGGCAACTGAAGATTTTTTTTTGCTGCCTCCTACCTGGTAGAATTCAGCTTGCAAGTTCCAACATTACTGGGGCGTTAGCTATACACTAGAAACAGCATCACTCATACTTGTGAGGCAGCATAGCATACAGTGGGCCTTTTACACCCGGTTTTATCCTGCCTCCACCACTTGCTAACTGTGTGATCTTTGCCAAGTTACTTAATTGTTCTAAGCCAGTTTTCTCATCTGGAAGATGGAGACAATTCAGGTCACAGTATCTTATCCACAATTTAAAAATGCAAAAAGCTCTGAAAACGGTGCATAAATATTTTTTTCCTATGTATAAGGCAAACTCACTTTATCCCACTTTGTGTGACTGTCATAGGTTTTGCTACAGATATATGAATGTGTCTGATTATAAAGTGTTGCCCCAGACTTTGCTGGGGCTGTAAGGTAATACACTATGTTACCTTTCTGAAATCATCAGACTCCAAGAGTTTTGGATAAGGGATTATGGGCTTGTAATAACGGCCATAGAATTTTTGTTTGAATTAAATGAGGTAAGATACGTAAAGCATGCATGCTCAGTAAATATTGGTTTCCACCCTTGCTGGTCTCAGACAACCCACTAAGAAAAACACTTCTTTTAAAACACTGTTTAATCATGGCCAACTGAAATCAGGCATGGGACCATGACACTAGGGATTCATTACATTAAAAGGCTAATAAGTATGCTGGGATTCCACTAATGTTGATAAGGAGAAGCAGGAATAAATTTAAGCTTAAGTAGATTCCACACAAGTCATGTTTTACTTTTCACAGTAGTTATCTGAAATGCAACCTGGGGCACGCTGCTTTTGTTAGCCTGAAGATGAACACAATCTGGTACCAGTCAAATCCAAAGTATTAACATCTCACACACTAAACTGAGTTCACTTGCAATAACCTGTTTAAAACTTTAGAATGTTGATGAGTTAGGATGTCAGAGGCTTAATGATATTGAGACCTATTTTTAACAATAAGAAGGCTAATACTCAAATAAGATCAGAATTGAGGTGGCTAGAAAACAGAAAACTTCCCAATCTATCTCCTCCCTTCTCTGTTTGAATCAGGGACCTCACATTTGTCCCTCTCCCTGCCAATGTCAAATGGTTCTCTATTTACCAGACAGCTCAGGGCTTACAATTGCTTTAGGATACCTACATCCACATCCTACTTTTGGTTTTGCACCTGATATGTAAAACTTACATAATTTAGGAATTTTGATTTAATGGTGTTAGTCTTGGTGAAAATGTATAAGGATTAAAATACCACAGGATATCTGAAATAATTGGAGAATTGATGAAACTCAGAAAAGGTGATAAGCCCCTAGAAAGAAGAACACTAGAAACTTCCTCTTCTGCCTCTTTTGTGCTGCTCATTATGGGACCTGTTGGCATGACAAGAGGGAATGGACGTGCGAGGAGACTAAAGAAGATATGATGTTGGAACTTTTGTGAAATCTTCTCTGAGACAAAGTTGGCATCACAGAGCCTATGATTTAACATAGGTAATTAAATCTCTCTTTACAGCAAGCCAGATTGATCTTCATCTTCTCCAAGTTATCTTGGAACCCAGAGAGGTCACAGCTGCCGGGGGCTCGGGTGGTACTGATAACAGAGAGAAAGGCTTACTGGGTAACCAACTTATTACTCTAATCTTTAAATGACATGAGTTAAAGAGAGTAGTATGTGATTTTATATATTCTAAAATTTCCTGACTTTGTCCTCTAAAACTAATTCTCAAGGAGAACAAGGTGGCTAAGGAGGAGACCATTCAAAGAAGCCTTTGGCAAGTATTTATGTACTTTATGTGTATGTAGCGATGACAAAAGGAGCAGGTTGTGTTGAGAATGGGAACAGAAGGAATGAACACTATAATAAAGTTTATATGCAAGTAAAGCAAGGAGGAAGTTGTTCATGAACTAATGTAATAAACATTGTTGAGAACTACAGTAATAAATACGAGCTGCTTGAAGTTTATAATCAAGGACTGATTTGTATCTTCCACGGAGAAGAGGCAGGATTCATTGTGAATCCCTCACCTTCACATGATGATAGGATGCAGTGCTCTTTGCTCTAAAAGTTCTGGGTTCAAGTCCTGTCTTCATAACTTTGGGCTCTAACTTGTTCCTTATATAAAATAAGAATAATGCTACTAGCTGCGTCTATTCCACACAATTTTTTCCAAGATCAAAGCAGATGTGATAATGGACATTAAAAAATGTTGTAAACAATGAAAGCACTATACAAATATGTTTTTGAAAAAAGATTAATTCTTCTCTGGTTCTCTAAACCAAGATGTGATAAGAAATAATAAAAATAATTTTTAAAAATAGGAGCTACACTGAAATATACCATTTTATCAATTCCTTTCTTTCCTTCACGCAATTTGGGGAACTGAATACACACTCCTCTTAAAGTGATTATTGGTAGCCAAAGAATCATTTTGAAAACAAAGATTACTAGAAACAGCTCTGCTTCTCTTAAATGACCAGTTTATATTAGCTTATGGACATTGTGAACCTTGTAACTCTTTATTTTCTTCTTTGCCTAGACTCTAGGAAGCTCAAAGCCAAATATGAAGTCCACCTCCAAGGACTGCACAGAATATTATGGCACACACTTTGTGAACAAGCTTTAGTTCTAATGTTTTTATTTTCTCTTTGCCTCTGTTTCTTATTCATCCATTTTTATCCTGTTGTATACATTTCTGAAACTCAGTTTAAAAAATTGTTTTTTTGGGAACACATTTGGAAAACAACAAATCAAGTCTTCAAGTGGGAAAGTTTGGCATTAATTATCTGAGATGATGGAAAGTGAATACTTCAGTTAATAATGAATTTTGTTTCACAGTTTTACCATTAAAAAGCAACAAAAACGGGAAACCAGTGTCAGGTGCATGGACATACCTGCCATATAGTACGTAAGTAGGTCAACAACAATTCCCAAAACATGCAAACAGAATTACCCACTGTGCTGACTTAAACTGAACTGAAAGTAAGATGTCTAAAGACATCAACTATGGCTGATAAAATTCCTTATTTATAACAAAGCAATAAAACAAAATGGCCAAAAAACTAGCTCCAGAACTCACTTAGGTGATTTGAGATCACGATGAATAATTTTATGGAGGTGCAAATAATTCATTCCACTTGCAATTCCCGTGGACCAGTCCACTAGCAGTCGAGGCGTGATCTTCCTGCCAGCTCGCAAAACCTCGTAGAGCTGTCCATGGGCACAGTATTCCATGATGATACAATAGCATGGGGCCTGAGTACAAACACCTCTTTCAAGAAAACACAAACATGTATATAATACACACATACATACAAGCATACATGTATACATATTTATAGTTTAAGAATATTTAATAAATTTAATAAAGACCCGTTCTCTATCCATATTATTTTTAAAATGCATAGAATCTTTCCTGATTCTTAAATTACCATTAAAACCCCTCTAGTCTACAGGTTTCTCTATTACGCATACAGACAATTTCAGTTTGTTTTGGTCATTCCAGATATCTATATGCTGTGCTGTACCCAGTGCTTTTTCTGTGGGACCATTCCATTCTGGAACAAAGAGCACCCTTTCCTGAGACTTGTGTAGGCTGGATACTGTGTTGTTTTAGATTAAGAATAATTTAAATATCTTCCTTTTAAAATTAAATAGAGGGCTTTATATATAGTGTACAGAGAGAATTCAAATAAAATATTGCTATTTTTACTATTATTTGTTGAATTTTAAATTACTCAAATTTAAGATAACTAACTAGATTGAGGACCAAAAAAGAGTCAATTTTCTACTTTATATAGTCTTTGAAAAACATTTCTGTTTAGAATAAAAATAATGCTACATAATGTATTATACTTCTATGCAGCCTATATTTGCATCAATTCCTACGTCTTCCATGAAGCCTTTCCTCATTATTCCAGTCTAAAAAGATCTTTCTCTTCTCTAAATTCCTCTGCCTACTTAGCAGCCATTAGTTTTTTACATGCAATTTTTCTCTCCCCATACAGATTATAGGCTTCTGGAAGGGAAAGGTCTTCAAGTTCTTTTCTTTCTACCACATGGCCTATAAGTTCACTGCAAGTTCTTAACAAATACTTCTTAACTCACCGTTAACTTTCTTTGCTGATAAAGCCTTCACACAAGCACGTGCAGAGGCAAGGGGTAGGAACAAGAGGACTAACATGAAAGAAAATCTATTTCTCAGGCATGTTTACATGTTTATTTAATTGTCTTATTTAATCTGCCCCAAACCATTGTAAGATAGATATTACCTTTTCCGTTTTTACAGGTAAGGCTCAGAGAGGGAAAGTGACTTGTTCAAGAAGAGACAACTAATAAGGGACAGATCCGGGATTCAAATCCAGTCTGTCTAACTTGAGAGCCCGTGCTCTTTCCACTCACTATGCTACACTGCCTCCCTTTTAGCTTTTTAACTTCTGTACAGACACGCATACTGGGGATTCCTATGTTAATATTGTCACCTTATAAAAGTGGGAAAATCTTATTAACTCTACTTCACAGTTTTGTTCTGAGGATGAGAAAAGAGAAGAAAAATTACCACATATAGTTCTCTATGTCCCATCTTTCAGTGGTATGTATGTCTTCCTTCAAAACTTTCTAGAAAAGTTATCAGAATATTCTATCTACAAGACTGCCAGCTGAAGTCCTCAGCCAGCTACCAATTCACGCCCTATCTCTTAGGCAGCTGTGAGGAAAGACTTTAGAGGCCATGACTTGTGATCATGTGAAAATCTTATAACAATAGCAGGTTACAAAGAAGTATAATTAGTCTTCACTTTCCCTGCCTTGATCTGCCTGTCAAATGCCACAAAGCTATTTCTATTACTCTCCTATCATTTTCTAAGCTACTCAGAATTCTCATCTTGATTTTTGTTTTTCGGGTGTTTTTTGTCAGGAAGATTGGCTCTGAGCTAACACCTGTGCCCATCTTCCCCTATTTTGTATATGGGACGCCGCCACACATGGCTCGATGAGCAGTGCATCGGCTGCACCAGGATTCGAACCTGTGAACCCCAGGATGCCGAAGCGAAGCATGGAAACTTAAACCCTATGCCACTGGGCCGGCCCCTCTTCTTGATTTTAGGTGAAAATTTTTTTTCGAGTTTCTGTTACTTGACTTTTAGGAAAGCTCAGTGGAGTACAAGTGTATAGCAACTACAAACAATTTAATTTTCATTACAGAGAAATAACAAGGCAGGAATAACGTAATGTGCTTAAGAATCAAAATAAATATTTGTTTGAACCTAGTAAGCATCTTATTCAACTACACTTTGACTTGTCACACAAACACAGGCAGAAAGGGTCTAACAGTGATGTTATGTACTTTTCATCCTTCTTGACTGACGAATGAGAAGCAATCATTCCATCACCCCTGTACTATGACAAGGCTTCTTAGTAGCTATAAATAACAGCCCTATAATCACTTCTAATTGCTACCTTTTCTTCCCCTTGGCACTCAATTCCATTAGGAACAGTCAGGTTGGGTTTTCATAAAAGATTACTTAAAAAAAATTGGAAGAAAAAAAGAATATAGTATTCTTTTCTCGCACTTCCCCTTCTGTACGTGGTTCTTACTAACTTCAAAAGAAGCTGTAAGCACAGAAATCAGTATCCAGAGAGAGACATACTAAAATCTAATCATGCCTTCATATCTTCCAGACGGTCCTGAATGATTCATTGGCCAAGCAACACATGGCACAGATGGGTGCAAACACAACACTGCACAATGCCTCAAGAGCATGGTGTAATGGGCAGGGACACAGTCTCACTATTGTCTTCCCTGGAGAGGTAAAGACTATTCAAGCGTCTTCAGCCTAAAGAATTGGGCACCAGCAGGGCAATACTTGTCCAAAATGCTGAAAACTGCATACGCAGGTAGGAGGGTCAGAAGAGTGAAGCATGGAAAAGACTGGGAGGAAAAAGGACAAAGCAAAAGAAGGGAAGGAAAAATAAAGCTGCTCACACCCATCCTCTTAGGACACATTTCTACCTTCAGTTACCCAGGACATCCTACTGGAAAGCCCTCTTACCTGGGACTCACAGCCTAGTTCACTTCAGGAGGCCAAAAAGCCATGTTAATCTACAGAATATTCAGTGTCTCACACCCAGTGTCCTAGTGATCTAAGCTTAAACGTTTAGTTAAATGGAAGGCTCTTCCTTCCATTTAGGATGATGTAGCATCCTGGAAGTGATGATCCTCAGTAAAGTAAAATGAAGGAAAGAAGCGAGTCTCTGATATTCTGTCTGCTTAAAAATAATCCTCCTGCGGGCCGGCCTGGTGGCGCAAGTGGTTAAGTGCGTGTGCTCTGCTGCGGAGGTCCAGGGTTCTCCGGTTCGGATCCCGGGTGCGCACCGACGCATCACTTGTCAGGCCATGCTGTGGCGGCATCCCATATAAAGTGGAGGAAGATGGGCATGGATGTTAGCCCAGGGCCAGTCTTCCTCAGCAAAAAGAGGAGGATTGGCAGATGTTAGCTCAGGGCTGATCTTCCTCACACACACACAAAAGTAATAATCTTCCTATTGTCTGTTGAAATTGATCATCTTTGGACAGATTACAATTGGTCTCCACAGCATTTTGTTTTAGTTTCACATCCTCCTGGCCCTACTAGGGCAACCAATGATAGAATCACTACAGCAACTGAAGCTCCCTCTCCCATGTCCTCTGCATGGATGTTCCTTCCACAAGGAAATGAATCCAAGCAATTCGTTTAGTATCTTAGTTGAATGCTTCTCATCTTTTCAGAAGTCTTTCCCCTTCTATAAGGGGTCTTGTTTGGGAATCAAAACTCAACTTCAATACTCATTTAAATCTATTCTATAAAACCTGTACCCAAGGTTTCTATTCCTTACATTGAGGATGTGATTCTAATTAAAAATTATCACATGACAGGTTTAGGTTTATAATGGGAGTTTTATCAAGGAAAGAATCTCTCTTGAGGGCTGGGAGAAGTTTCACCTAGCTTAAGGAAGGGAGATGTATAAGTTATTCCACTTTTAATGTAGCCTCATTGGTCATACTAGTTTCTAGGATTGAAATATATATATATATAAAATATACAAGAAGTTCTAGTTTCTAAACTTTCATCCCACCTAAAGGCTACCTTTCCTGTTCTTCATCTTCCCTTCTCTAAAGCTACTCACCATTTATTTGTTCAAGTCTAGGGCAAAATTTGAAGGCTGGCAAAAGAGGGAACTCAAGGGAAATGTGCAGGCAGAAGAGATTACACATATTTAGAGCTCAGCACTGCCAAATTTGGTGATTTCCACAAATTTACCTTTGAGCCACCCCCTTTTGCTAGGGATCCCTGCCAATATTATGAAAATAATGATCTAAACTAGAAAGATATGTTCACACGCTCCTGAAAACAACTACTTTGTGAAAAGAAAATAGCATATAACTTACTATCATCAATAACGCTACTATCATTAGATTTAGAAAGCAGAGTATTTGGCATTACTCGAAAAGGGATCTAGCAAAACCTAGATGAGGCATGGAGAAATACTCTGAAGGTAACTGTTACTATAAGTTAATATTTAAGAAGGGACACTAATAGAAACTAATAAAAAATACATATCTATTCCATAAGTACTAATTATTCTCTGATCACTTCAGATGTTAGCTTTGTTTTCTTAAATGAATTTTAGGATGTCCAGGTTATCTCAAAGTGACCTCTGTCACCCTATTAATAAATTAGCTTGATTTAGTAGATCTGACTGCTTGACAGGAATCCACCTTCTCTCTCTCTGTCCCATGTACGTCCCTTCCAAATAGCAGGAGATATGGCAAAACGAACTATTAGATTGTAAAATCCTTAAAGACATGACTCCAATTTAATAGTTCTTTGGTACCCTCCCAAAGCACCCACCAGAGTGCTAAGTCTATAGCGTGTTCTTAACATGTCTTTCAAAGCAGGAACTTAAATGTTATATTGGGGGAAAGAAAATCTCTCTATTTCTTAAAAAAACAAAAAACAAAACCGCCTTGACCTACTTGAAAGCGATGATGTTAGGGTGCTTCAACTTCCTCAAATGCTTGATATCCGTCTCATTCTGTTCTCTCACTTTCTTGATGGCCACCTCCTCCGCTCGGAACTTGCCCAAGAAGACAGCTCCTTGGGCTCCACTACCCAGCCACTGCAGCTCTGAGATTTCCTCAAATGGCACTTCCCAAGTATCTAGGCACATAAGCAAGAAACAAGCTTAAAGAGATCTCGGAATTTGCTCAGGGACCATTTTATAAGGCTACTCTGAAGGTACCAACTTCACCATCACCCAAAACGATCTCTCCTTTTTGTTTCCCACTTGGTAACTCACCAAAAGATATAACCTTTCTATGGGCCTCGATACTATAGATCAGATATGCACATGTACTAGTTTGTATCAATTTTTAACCAGTGAAATCAAGCAGATCAGAGATCTCCAATATACTCTCCTCCAAACAAAACATATCCTGACTCTCCCGCAGCCCCATCTCTCACTGCAAGCTTGCATGTTCAGTCAATTCACCCATCTGTCTCTACACCACTATCCCTACCCCATCACCCTTTATAAGTGTTGTTTTATTCCTCTTTGAATTTCTAGTGCAGATGCTCCATTACTCCTTGCTGAATTCATTTTCAATAATACTCTCCTAAGGACTTAATTATACATAATACTTACATTAGTATCTACCTTTTATTGAGTACTTAGTTTATGCCAGACCCTAGCATAGTGCTTTACATATCTCATGTGTTTAATCTTTAAAACAATCCTCCAAGTTTGGTCTTATTATTGTTATTTAAAGTTGAGAAAAGTAAGACATAGAATGGTTAAGTAACCTACCCAAGGTTATATAGTTGGTAAGTGGCAGAACAGGGCCCAGAAATCCAGAATTGGCTGATTCCAGGGACAGTGCCTTCTCTACTATACCACATTGCCTCTCACAAAGTAACTAAGTGGGTCATTAGTCATGACGTGTTTATCCATATAGATGCAGTATTTTCAAGTTTCTCTTTTTCTTAGAGTTTGATTTTTTTTTTTTGCACCAAAAATTTAACAGGGATCCTTTCTAAGTGGTGGCATTATTGTTGATTCATATTATGTTCTTTATCCTTTTCAGTATTAAAATTTTTTTTACTATAAGCTATGTTACTTTTAATGAATAAAATGCTATTTTAAATAAAGCACTTCAAAAATTCAATCAGTATGTGCTTTAATCTTATGAAACTTAAGAATATAACCCATTGATCCTTCTCCTTGTCTTCCCTTTTAGCAGCGCATTATCACTGCACTGGCAAGAAATGAACATCAAAGAGCTTGGAGCCCCACGGACTGAGGAGAAGGATGATGACAACGTTAAAGGTTATAAGAGATTCTCATCAGATCACCGATCAGTAAAAGGCCACTGCTTGCAGAACACTGAACAAGATAGCATTGAATTAGCTTCAAAGATATTCTGGTCTTGAAATCAAATCAACTCACTATGTACTATGTTGATGAAGCAAGAGCAGAAAGAGCTCATCAGCATCTAGAAGGGAATCACATTTCCTTCTTTTCTAATTTTCTCTACCTTAAAAGAAATTCTGTACGTTCTTAATAAAGTGTGGTTTCTCATTACAATGGTTAAAACATGACCTTCAATACATAGAGCAGGAAAAATTATAGTGCGGTTGGTTTATAGTATGGCGTTCGTCCCATTCTTATGATATGAGCAGTATTAAAGGTGTCTGCTCTATTGGAATCGATTAGATGCTATTTAAAAACAAATCCCTCTAGATAAAAATAGCTCACAAAGATGAAACCACTAAAGGAACAAATGGTACCAAGTGAGATTTGGGAGGAAGCAGTGAGTTACAGACTTGACTGTTTTCAATATTTTTATGGCATCTAACGGCTGACATGGATTGAGTGGCTGAAGCAGTCTCACTTGGGTCCCCACAGGCTTATTGGTGCAGCGCACACAGCACGCAGGTATTGATGACACGCTGTAAAAGAGTTTTACTCATTAGGTGTCCAGAGAAGAACTAAACACACTGTCATTTTGACCTTCCGGGGGCTGAATAAAGTCCTATTCCTGGATTCTGGGCAAGAACATAACCGAGCAAGAACATAATATTTCTCTGAATAACTTTATAGAAGTCCAAGTTGCCCTAACTTTTCATAAAATAACTATTAAAATTAGACAATCTTTGGGTGTCTTTTTTCCTATTTACTCAATCTTTATTTACTGTTAAATACTAGAAACGTTAGCAAATATTAGAAAAAACAGAAAAACATGTATTTTATCTGAAATCCCATCCCATATCCAGTTTTCATCTTCTCCTCTAGTCTTTGCTCATATGTATACAGCTTTGTAAAAGTTGTATGTGATGTAGATAAGGAGAACAGATTAGTGGTTACCAGAGAAGAAGGGGATGGGGGGAGGGTAAGGGGTATAAAGGGACATATATGTACAGTGATGGATAAAAACTAGACTAGTGGTGGTGAACACGAGGCAATCTATACAGAAACTGAAATATAATGATGGACCTGAAAATTACACAGTGTTATAAGCCAATATGACCTCAATAAACAAAAAACAAAAAACAAAACAGGTCTATAGTTGCATTGGGATGGGGTAGCAGAGGTCAGAGGTGGGAGAAAGGGACAGGAGGAAATTTTGGGGAGTGATAGATACGTAGTTCTCATAAACTTGAAGGAGCTTTCTCTCTATTTCTTTGAATATATGAAGAGAATATTTTACAAAAGCCACTTTCTTTTATTTTTTGAACAAAATATTTTTATAGTCATCTGTCATTTCCTTTGTAATTTCTTCTACTTCTAATCCATGTTCTAAGAGTGATCTATAGTTGATTTTTTTAAAGTTTAACCTTTATATCCATCTGGAGTTTATTTTGGTGTATGGTGTGAGGACTGATGTAAATTAATTTTTTCCCATATTGTTATTTAGTGATCCCAAGACAATTTGTTAAATAACCCTTTCTTTTCACATAATTTTAAATGCTTACACTGTAATTTATTATATTTTTAATAAATAATGCCTATTACTTAGTATTTTTAGAAAATGAGAAATAAATGAATTATTAAAAGACAAATGATAAGTATGTTTGGCATTCAAATACCAAAGGTTGAGGATAATATAATAAGGAACAAAATATTCCTCTACCAACAGTAGCTCATGCTTGTGTTATCCAGCTATGTTCAGCCAAGTCTTAAGTATCCATGGAAAAATAAAGGGGATAGCATTGGTAATTCAAGAACACACAATGTAAAATAAAGTAATACTTAAACAACCTTTCCATCAATCTTTTCACTAGAACTGATTACCAGAAGTAAAATTGATCGATGTGATTTAATCCTCTCTGTCCTGTCCCAATGTCCCTGTCAATATCTAGTAGGGAGCCAAGGAACAGGAAAATGTCAGAAAAAGAATGTTAGCAACAAGGATGTGCAAAATTGGAGGCCTAGATCACTGACGAGCTCGAGCACTAACCTCACAACAATAGAAACCGGCTGTGCTCCCTCCAGGGTTAGTTCCAGACTTTCTGCTGCTTTTACATCTGTCCCACTGGTACTCTGTCCCAGCTGTTATCTTCTCCCTGATTCATCACTATGACTACTATCTTAATTCCAGTATCCACCATGATCCCTAGGACGGAGAAAAAGCCACATGCCCACCCACTTTAACGCATAAGTTCTCCTTTGTTTATTCAGACACATCTGTGACAATACTTGCTTTGAGACTGGGAACTATTTGGCAATAAAAGATTCCAATTACACACACTACCTTACTTAGACTTCACTACCAACATACTAAATGGGAGATGAAGACATCATTAAAATTTTCAAAAATCTAGTGAAATTTCCTCATAAGTACCAAATGCAGGGACACATCTGTCACACGTGCTATCCTTTGGTTGACTGTAATCCAGGATTAAAGATTAGCTCCCTGATCCCAGAGCTGACAAGGGAAAAACTGCACATAGTTTCTGGCTAGCAAATCTCTTTTACAGCCCACAGCAACACCAGCCCGCAGTAGGATTCCTGTCACCTGCTGAAGAGTGAGGCAGCTGCTGTTCCCTGTAAGCGTAAACTGACCAGGCCTATTTCTTATTTATTCCTGAAATAAGCCTTTCTGAAAGTCACAGAATCAATTGGAAGACAAATTAAATACAAGTTTATAGAACAATAAAATAAATTTTAAAGGCTCCTTTTAACAGATACGGGATGTGACTTTTCTTTAACAGACACAGGATGTTACTTCTCTTTATGAGTCTGAACCTCAACGTTGCATTTAGATCCTGAGACCTTCAAGTTACCACCAAAATAATTATGAGACTAGACAAGTTCAGATCCTAAAAACCAAATGTAGTTTATCAAATCAGTAGATATTAGTAGGTTTTGTGTCTAAGCAGAGAAGAGGAATTTTTAAAAAATAAATTAAGGGTGGTTATCGCTGGTTGTGGGATGACAAGTGATTTTTATTTTCCTCTTTGTGCTTATCATTATTTCCAATTTTAAAAACAATAATACTGTTTAACATAGAAGTCCCTAACCATTGTGTGACAAGGAACAACTTTTTAATTTCCTTGAAACTTTAAGATAATGGAGGGGGAAAAAGGGTGGAGTGTGCAAGGTATGAGAGTATGTATGAAAGACACAGAGACAGACAGACAGACAAAACCCAGGGAGTGACAAAGAATTTCTGCATGGAGCAGGGATGGATGCTGTGGTTGACAAATCCTGAAAAGTACACCTGGAATTGACAGATTTATCAGTAAATCCCAATGCACTTGTGGGGAAGGAAGGGAGAGAGGTTGGTATTGGTTTAGGAGAAAGTATTTGAGAAACAGGAAAAATAGAATGCATGGGAAAAGTACGTAATGGTGACTGATGTCAACTGGCTATTGTGGAAAAGCTGTCAGCAGTCTTGACTAAAAGAGATGAATAATTTTCTTTTTTTTTTTGTGAGGAAGATCAGCCCTGAGGTACCATCCAGGCCAATCCTCCTCTTTTTGCTGAGGAAGACTGGCCCTGAGCTAACATCCACGCCCATCTTCCTCCACTTTATATGGTACGCCACCACAGCATGGCTTGACAAGTGGTGCGTCAGTGCGCGCCCGGGTCCGAACCCAGGCCGCCAGCAGCGCAGTGCGCACACTTAACCGCTACACCATGGGGCCAGCCCCGAGATGAATAATTTTTAAGAGAGGGTCACAGAGTCCAACATTCAGTTATAAAATAAATAAAACAATCTCATTTCTGGTCCACAGTTTTCCTTTCCAGAATTCTTCACGAGAGAACTCATAACAACTGAATTATTTACATAAGGCTATAAAGATATGTATCAAAAGCCTTAAAAACAATAAACCTTTTGAACCCAACCATACTTCTTCTAGGAATTTATCTTAAGGCGTAATCAAAGATGTGTGTGAAAACTAATAGATGTTCATTGTAGTGTAGCTTATAATCACTAAACATAATAAGCAAATTAAGTGTCAAGCCATAGAGGATTGCTTAAATAAATATTGGCAAGTTCACACAATTTAACATTATGCAGCCATTAAAATGATACTGAAGACATATATTTCATACTATGGGAAATGTTCACAATATGAAATGAAAAACCTACAAAACAGTATGGCTATTTTTTTTAAAGCACACACACACAAATAGACTAACACAATACATACCAAAAATATTAATGGTGGTTATTCTCAGGAGACTGGGAATCCTGGATTATTTTAACTATTTTTTGGAACTGACCTGTATTTTTCAAATTTTCTACATATATTACTTTCGTCATCAGGAGACAAAACTTCTTCTAAAGAATATAAATGAAGGTATAAAGAACACTAGGGCCATGTGTTGCCTTTATGTCAAAAGCATACTGCTTGAATTGGAATATATGAATATATATGTTACATAATGATGGGAGTTAAAAATTTACTTTTTAAAGAGCTGTTGAATTTAGAAATAATAAAGCTTTTCAAGATCGGTTACATATTTTGTTCTTTCCTCAAAATGTGAGCTTTCTGTGCTATGACAGCAAGATAATAATTCCTTTTTACTAACCTAAGGCAGGCCTGGAATCTTCAGGGGCAGTACCTGTCATGTGGCTTCTGTCTAGTATTGAACTAGTCCAGTAGCCACCAGACTTTCTGATTATATAAACTTTTATTAAAAAATTTTTAAACATGCACTCACTGATTTATTTATAAATTATATATCCGTACAACTTTATTAAAATACCAAATATATATGAATACATGCATGAAAATAGAAATTTTAAATGATGAGATAAAAGGAACAGGAGCTGTAACATTTTCTTCCTCATAATGCCATGGATTGTCTTATATGTAGTCTACTTTGGACACCACTGGACTGGACAACCACAAAAGATGGGCTTTGACCATAAAAGACTCAACAAATGTGAATTTGCTCCATTCAGCAGGTATATAGGAAATCAATATGAGGTATTTATCTGGTCCTAGTTCTTTAATTTATCCACAGGTCAAAGGTTATCTAGTTAATGATGGTGCTGTGTTTACACAGGAAATACCTTCCTGGTTCATACTCTAGCTTACCTTGCTGCTGTAATTTGTAATCAGTGGAATATGCCTTCCCAATGATATTCCAGACAGGCCTTAAGCATCCAAATAGTCCTTCAAGAAACCCACCACTGCCGCTGCCCGACCTGCTGAACTGAATCTTGATGTCTTCAGTTCCACTCGTGCTCTCTCCATCCATGGTGTTGCTGTTCCCCTGAGACATGGCCATCTCTGATTCATCTTGTTCCCTTAGCTGAAGAACACTGTTCTCAAACTGGTCCCTGGAATCCTCGCTTACGCTTGTCAACACTGTTGTGGTGATGGGGCTGTTCATGCCCTCAGTTAGCTCTGTTTGCACCACCCCCTTTTCCTGTTGGTCCTTAAGGAGCTTGGGTGAAGGCTGGCTCCCCATTGGTGTGAGTTCATCCTGTAGTCCATTGAAGGTTTTGTTTTCACTCAAGGGTAAGCGTGGGGAGGAGGAGCAGCTCAGGCGCTCCTGAGGGTCGGCCATTGTGCCATGAGTATGCCCAAGGTGCTGAGGTGATACTCAGAGGATTATTAGAATAGAGTTCCGAAGTAAGAGAGGCCTCCACAACCTGAGGAAGACAGGAAGATATCAGATCACCCTTTCTTTAGTCATCCACACTACTATCCTTCTGTTTATAATAACATTGAAACAATGAGGATTGGTTAAACAGTGGTGTATAGCCACATGATGGCATACTGTGCACCAATTTAAAATCACGTTGTAGAAGAGTATTTACTAATGTGAGAAAATGTTCATGACATATTAATATAAAAAACAAGGTAGAACAATATATACAACATAAACTGTTTTTAAATTATTTATTTAAAAGGATACCCAAACACATATACAAGAAAAAAGACTGGAAGGATACATCTAAAGAATTAACAATAGTTAATTCTAGGCAGTTAGATTTGGGAGGGGTTTATATTGCTGTGTTTTTCAAGATATTCCAAGCATTCTGCATTAATGTGTTGATAAAGACTGAATGTTTGTGTCCCCTCAAATTCATATGTTGAAACCCAATCCCTATTGTGATGGTATTTGGAGGTGGGGCCTTTGGGAGGTGATTAGGTCATGATGGTAGAGCCTTCATGAATCGGATTAGTGCCCTTCTAAAAGAGACCCCAGAGAGCTCCCTTGCCTCTTCTGCCATGTGAGGACACAGTGAAAAGATGGCTGTCTATGAAAAGGAAGTAGGCCCTCACCAGATATTGAATCTGCCAGCACCTTGATCTTGAATATGCCAGCCTTCAGAACCGTAAGAAGTAAATGTTTGTTGTTTGAGCTGTCTAGTCTATGGTATTTTTGTTATAGCAGCCTGAACAAACTAAGATATATGTATTATGTTTATAATCAGAAATAAAAAATTGTTTCCCTTCCCAAAGGGAAATTAAGTGTTCTGATAAATATACTTTTATTAGAAACTACATCCTATGTTATTATAAGTCACTGCTCATCTGTTCTCTTTGCTTTAATGTCTTATCCACTGGCACATTGCTTTACTTTCTAAGGCATTATTAAGTCATGTAGATAAATGTCTGTGACAAGACAAATTCCTAACATATAAAATTTTTTTTACTGTACTGCACCAAATCTGGGGCAACATAATAAGCTCCAGCTCTTTAAACTTGTTCTTTGCTTCTGATCTATTAGGACCAATTTCTCAGAGCCACCTAACCTCTGAAAATAAAGACATGGAATTGTTCCAGATTGGCCAGATGATGCAAAGTCAATCCTAGATTTGTTCAACATATGTCTCTTATCAGAAATTTACTTTTTTTGCAAATCTGAAAATACAGTCCTTCCTTCCTTCACACTATATTAAACATCTAGAATGTGTTACAGGCCTGGGTATAAAGATGATGTCGCTTTGCAGAGGGGGCAAAAGACAGACCAACAAAGATTGACAGTACGGTGCTTACAATAATCAACCAAGGGCTCTGGGAGCACAGAAGAGGGAGGGATAGTTTCAGGGATAGCTGCCCATAGGTGATAACTATAGATCACTTGAAAGAAGTCTAGAAATTCATCAGTCAGGCAGGAAAGGGGTGAGTGAAAGAAGAGGGAGAGAGTACTATAGGTGTGGGGAAACTATGAACGCAGCCATGGAGGGATGAAAGACTATGCAATAGATGAGAAATCTAAGTGGCTGGAAAGTAGGTTATACGTGTGCGTATAGAGAAAGGTAAGGACAGAGATGAAGTCAGGGGCTAGATTGTAAGGAGCTTTGTAAGCTAGGCTAAGAGGTCTGGATTTTATCCTGAAAGTGATGAGAAGTCAATAATATCCTATATTGGGGGATACGGATAAAAACAAACCATCCTTATTTTATTTATTTCTCTTCATTACTGAGACCCAAATTTTAAGCCTTTCCTTTTTCATTGCCATACCCTATGAGTAGTTTGTATGAGAGAACCAATGAAAATACTCTATCCTTTGAACTCTTATTCATTCACTTAAACCCTTATTGAGCTCCTATTACATGCTATACAATGTATTAGGCATTAATGAATGGTACATAGGTTCCTACTCTTTAGGAACTTACAATCTAGAGGGAAAGACCAACGGATAATAAAGCCATATGGCTAGGCATGGTACACAGACATGTGCAAGGTGCTATAGGAGCTCAGAAAAATAAACATCAAATATGTCTACAGATGTCATAAAGGAATTTGTTTGAATTGGAGGGTGAACCAGGGGTCACTAAGAAAGTGAGACTAGGCATTCCAGGTAGTATGGGGGAGCAGCAGGAGATAACTCTTATAAAAGGAGGGCAAAGGTCAGAATATGGTGGATCTGTATGACAAGCTAAAGCTTTTGGATTTTATCGTCAAGAGAACAGAGAGCCATTAAGGAATGTTAAGCAAGGGAGTGATTTGGTCAGATTTGTAATTTAAAATCACATCTGTAGAAGCAGAAGTTGGATTGAAGGGGAAAGATTGAAGATGAAGATATTAACTAGGAGGAAGAGTTCAATAAGAAATGATGAGGGCCTGAATCAAGGCAGTAGCAATGGCAGTGAAGAGGAGGGGATGGATGTAAGAGGTAGAATTGGTAAGATCTAGTGATTGATTAGACATGGAGGCGGGTGAGGAAAAGGGAGAGGAGAGGAAGACTTTCAGATAACATGCTTGGGATAACGGATAGATGGGCAATGTCATTAACTGAGATATGAAATATCAGAAGAAAAGGTTTGGAAAGAAGGTAATCAGTTACAAATGTAGAGGGTTTAAGGCCTACTGTGTGTGTGTGTCATGCACTGAACCAGGCTTTTGTTTATGTTACCTGATTTTAAAAAGACATTTGAAGAGAGGGATGTGAAGAGAGGTAAACGTGGGGGCTCCTTTAGCTCAGGGGCAGAAGTATCAAGCTAACAAAAGGGTGAACCCAAGTTAAATTAAAAATGTATTTATTGGGCTGGCCTGGTGGTGCAAGTGGTTAAGTGCGCATGCTCTGCTTTGGCGGCCCGGGGTTTGCAGGTTCAGATCCCGGGCGTGCACTGTCACACTGCTTGGTAAGCCACGCTGTGGTGGGATCCCATATAAAGTAGAGGAAGATGGGCATGGATGTTAGCTCAGGGCCACTCTTCCTCAAGAAAAAAGGGGAGGACTGGCATCGGATGTTAGCTGAGGGCTAGTCCTCCTCACAAAAAAAGAAAAAAAAAAAGTATTTATTAAGTATGGGCTAGGAGCTCTGCCACGCACTTGGCTAGGTTCTGTGGATGCAGAATATTACTGTTATCATTATTACTTTTAATGACAAGACAAAGTGCTGTACAATTTCCAGAGCCCTGTTTATATCATCAGCATTGTGCTGGTAAATCAGCTCTCCAGAAGAAACCCCAACAGTCGGACTTGCAGTGTTTGCCGATTTCCCTGATATAAATACTCCCCCCATGGCAGATTTCAAACTAATAACAGTTTAACAACCTGCTTGCAAAGTTACTGAATATTCCACAATTGGCTTTTTACAAATTGGTGTATAAGTTAGTTCCAGCACTACTAATCCTTGTAAGGGTGTCAGTCTCATTTTACAGAGAAGTAAGAAACATTTCTAAGGTTATATTTTGAGCAAGTGGTAGAGCAGGAATTAAAATCTAGTTCAAAATTCAGATTCCCAAATTCCCTTGCCTTTTTTATAACATGATGGCACCTCTTATGATAACCTCTCACTTTCTTAGAGTGCTTCATAGGTTAAAAAATGCTGTTGCCTATGATCTTGATCTAAACATTTGATCCCTTGTATAAGGAAGCCAGAGCATGGAATCACTATTTTTGTTTTTCACAGGAGGACACTAAGGCCTAGAGAGAGGTAAGTGCACGGAGCCAGGACTGAATATCAGGTTATTTTTCCTTATCCCAAAACTCTCTCCCCTACCATGCAGTCTCTGTAAGACACAGTTCCTTCCTTTCAAAGCTTACAAACTAATTAAGGAGTTAATAATTACATTGAAGGAATTACCTCCTGCCTGCCCTCCTCCCCCCATAACAAAGGTGCTATATTCTGTCATACATTGCTGGGAGAAGGGAAACAATGATGGGCAGGAGTAGTTAAGTGGGCTGAACGAAAGAGGTAGGACTTGAGATGAACCTTTGAAAGGAAGATGTGTCTGAGACTGACAGCGGAGAGGAAGTCAGGGAAGAATAAGAGCATTTGCAGAGGCAGGGAAGCAGAAACGACCAGGGCATGTGTGAGAAGGTTGGTAACCCAGAAATAAGGAAATAGCTGCTTATGCTGGGGTGCAGTGTGCAAAAAAAGGTAAGTCCTGCCTTCACATAGGGACTCTGAAAGCTCATGAAATAATGCAGATCATTCTTCCCTTTAAACAAATTGGAGAGATCACTTTAACTAGATAAGCGTGGGTTAAGAGGGACTTAAATTCCAGGGCATGGAGAAATTTAGGGGCTGGGAAGCTGCCTGGGAATATAAGGCTGGAAAAAAAGAAAGAATGAAAAAGCAAAGCTGGATCCCTTTGTGATGGCAATAGCTGTTTGCTGAGTTGACTCCCATTCTCCTCACTCCATCCTCCCCATCCCCTTCCTTTTGTGTTCATCTCTAAGCTTTGACATTACAGATCCCTCATTTTGCTTTCTTGCTGATCTCCTGCTACAACCTGTCTCTCAGTGTCTATTGCCTTTGGCTTCTCTGACTTTGCTCTTCCTGCCATCTTTTAAGACTGCTGACTTCATACTATGTGACCTGGCCACCGCCTCAACAGTCACTTCCAGTCTGCCTTTGCCATTGGCACTCGTGGTTATCCCATACAGAACAGGGCACACATTATGCTATTGGTTCACATCAGACTTGAGGATAATGCAAATACCCAAATGTATATGTGCACTGCAACCAAACACATATTTGTGCAATTTGTTCTTTGAATCAAACTACAGGACTTTATATTAATTCCTGGTAAATTTCCGTTTTGTCCATTTTTATCCTTTCTCTCTGATGACATCAGGTTGGAATGAGCTCATAAAGAAAAAGCTAGAAAAACATCTGTTTGTTTTGCAATCTCCCCACTTCTAAGAGGTTAAGGGTGTACATGAAGTGGACTTGTTCCCATT